CATTTATTCTTGATTATCACGTTTCTTTGTTTTAACAGATTTTATCATGTTTGAGAAATGTTTGGTTTTTTAATGTCTGTCCCAACTTGTTTGTTAATGTGTGTGTTTCTCTAAATTGTTAACTAGGGTTACCTATATATATTTTGACTAAAGGAAGCAATTTTTAAATTTCACGATAAAAAATTAATAATAAACCTAGACCTAAATTTGTGCCTACTTTTGATAAATTTATTATTTTAAATATACCGTTTTGATTTTTAGGTCGATTTTTTTTTTTAATTCACGATCAGTGCTTTGTCAAAAACAGATTTTCCTAGCTGGGAAATTTTTTAAAGGAAAAATTATTGGAAAAGACTCGTTTTTATCCCTGACCTTTTCTTCCAGCGGTGATAGGTGCATGTTGTAAAGGGTCCTTTTGATGTCTTCCATCCCCGTTTATTTCTTAGACCAGTGAAAAGCCAGCGACTATGAAGATCCGAGACCGTCTTCACAACTGCTTCATTTAAACCTCCTGCGGCCTTGTCCTATGCTCGGATCCCCCACTTAAAAGCGATCGGAAACTAACGCATTTCCTTTTCCTCTTTGGGTTCCTCATTTGTTGACAATTAAAAACGTAAAAGAAAGAAAAAATAGATCTCACGTTGGTCTTTAATTTAAAAAAGTCGAATAAATTTTCTTCAACCCAGCTATAATATTTATTCAAAAGTGGAGAGTCAACGCCCTTTGAGTTTTACTTTTTTCTCCCACCTAGGCTGACCAAAAAGAATATTCAAATTTACCATATATACTTACTACCATAAATACTTCGTCACTCTTACCACAATTACTCTATTTTTTTATTTTTTTTACTCTATTAATAAATATATTGTTACAATGTATATTTGTTAATTACATTGTACATCGAGTCTGCGGGGTCAGCACATCACCCGTACTACACTATTGCATCATTTTCAGTTCTGAGCTGACAGGTTTATTTTTAGCCTTGAACTGCACTAGAAATGCAGATAACAAGAAGACTGGAAATAAGATTTAGTACCAAGACTGACTCAAAGAACAACCGATAAAGGAAAACCAATTTGATAAAATTCCACAGCTCATTATGTTCCCAATAAGATAACGATCTAAGAAATGATTTTCACATTCTTTTGTCTAATCTTCAAAACAATTATATTTTTATTATTTAAAAGTTTAAATCTGATGTCATTTGGTTGTCACGCCTTAACTAAACCGTTGGAACGGATGTTGATCACCGAAGATGGCGCAAAGCATAAACGCGTTTGATTGACGTTAAAACCCAGAGGGACTGACCCAGAAGGAGGGAGGGTCAAATTTTACAATTTTGAACAGTGAAGAGTCATATTTGCATAAATTATTAATGGCGAATATCTTCATCAGTATGATCATCTTAACCGAAATTTGGCAAAATCTGAAATAAAACGTTCCTAATGACATTGTAATAATGGAGAGTGGTCCAATTTTACAATTTTAAGCAGTGATGAGTCTTATTTGAGGAAATTATTGAATCTCCTGATCAATATTGTTCATTCAAGGGTCCGCCATTTCACGTCACTGTTCTTCTTAGGTTTGATACAAATTTAAATGGAACGTTTCAAAATAAAATTATAATAAAAATTATTGACTAACGGCGTATCTCTTGGTCAATATTTAACAGTCATTAATATGATACGTGATATTAATGATTCAATTTTGAGCGGTGATGAACCAAATTAGTACAAATTATTGACTAATGGCGTATCTCTTGGTCACTATTGTACATTTAATGGGCCACTATTTTTCGTCATTGTTCTCTAGTCAATTTTGGTGCAAATTGAAACGGGAAGTTTCAAAATGAAGTAGTAACAGTGCGTAGTGGTTCAATGATAAAATCTTGAGCGGTGATGAACCAAATTAGTACAGATTATTGACTAATGGCCTATCTCTTGGTCACTACTGTACATTTAATGAGCAACTATTTTTCGTCATTGTTCATCTAGCTATTTTTGGTTCAAATTGAAACGGAAAGTTTCAAAATGAAATTGTACTAATGTGGAGTGGTTCAATGCTACAATTTTCTGCGATGATGATTCATTTGGGTTAAATATTGACTATTGGGGAAAGACTTAATCATTTTTGTTTGTTCTCGGTCCGCCATTCCACGTCATTGTTCATCTTAAGACGATTTTAGAGGAAATTTAAAAGGAGTAAATAAAATTACAATAACGTGGTGTGGCCAAATTTGAAAATTTTGAGCGGTGATTAGCCAAATTTGTACAAATTGTTGATTAATGCGTATCTCTTGATCAATATTGTTCATTTAATGGTCCGACATTTCACGTCACTGTTCTTCTTAAGACAAGTTTGGTGCAAATTTAAATGGAACGTTTCAAAATCAAATTGCAATAATGTGGTGTGGTCCAATTTTAAAATTTTGAGCGGGAATGAGCCAAATTTGTAGGAATATTGACTAATGGCGTATCTCTTGGTCAATATTGATCATTTAATGGTTCGCCAATTTTCGTCATTGTTCATCAAGTCAATTTTTGTTCAAATAAAAACTGAATGTTCTTAATGGAATTGTAAGAATGAAGAGTGGTCTAAATTTACAATTTTGAGCGGTTATGAGCTACATTTGTGCAAATAATTGACTAATGGCGTATCTAGTGATCACTACTGTACATTTAGTGCGCCACCATTTTTCGTCATTGTTCATCAAGTCAATTTTGGTTCAAATTGAAACGGAAAGTTTCAAAATGAAATTGTACTAATGGGCTGTGGTCCAGTTTTAAAACTATGAACAGTAATGAGTCTTGCGGAAATAATTAATGGCGTTTCTCTGGACCAGTATTGCTCTTTAATGGTCCACCATTTCATGTCACTGTTCTTTTAAGACAATTTAGGTGCAAATTTAAATTAAACGTTTCAAGATAAAATTATAATAATGTGGTATGGTCAGTTTTACAATTTTAACCAGTGATGAGTCTCATTTGCGAAAATTGTTGAATAATGGCACTATGATTTGATCAATATTGTTCATTTAAAGGTCCGCCATTTTTCGTCATAGATCATCTTAAGACGATTTTGATGCAATTTTAAATGGAACGTTTCAAAATAAAAGCAATTGTTCATCGAGTCAATTTTAGTTCAAATTAAAGCAGAAAGTTCCTAATGGAATATAAGTATGGAGAATGGTGCAATTTTAAAATTTTGAGGTGTTGAGTCAAATTTGTAGAAATTATTGACTATTGGCGTATCTCTTTGTTACTACTTAATGAGCCACTATTTTTCGTCATTGTTCATCTAGTCAATTTTGGTTCAAACCGAAACGGAAAGTTTCAAAATGAAATTGTACTAATGTAATAAAGCATAGGTTCAATGCGGTGATGATTCATTTGCGGTGATTATTGACTATGGCGTAAGGCTTGATCGTTTTTGTATGTTTTCGGTCCGCCATTTTAAGTCATTGTTCATCTTGAGGTAATTTTGAGGAGAACATTTTTTTTAACGAAATAGAAAATCATTGACTGATAACGTTAATCATTTTTGCTTAAAATTACGTACGTATTGGGTCATTATTGCCCTTTCGCCCTTACCTCAATACCTCCTGTATAAATTCTAATGTATTTATGCGAACGAACATAGCGAACAACGTCTTCAAGTTGAGAGATGATAAACTGAAATACTGAATACTGAACCTCTCACTTCTGAAAAGGCGGATTTGAAGTCGAAAAGTGCCGAGCCTCCCCACTCTCCCGCACAAGCGCAACTCCATCAAATACTCCCCGATTAAACAGGCGTTGTCGGAGACAAGGAGAACAGTCTATATCTCTCAGTCAAGTCAGGAATAAAGTACTGTTTTTTCTGAATCCAGGCCGTTTTTCCATCGCCCCATATTTGCTGAAATTCACCCAGGACCCAGCGATAAAGGACCATCGGCGATATGGCGCTGAAAACACTCGTCGGACAGAGTAAGTATATTCAAAATGGGACAACATAACCTTTTTTCACACTCTGATAACTTCTCTTAACCCTTTCAAAACATTTTACCTTAGAAAATATATTTTTTTATTGAGAAGTGTGAAGATATAAAAAGAAATTCTGATAAGATTCAACAACGATCTGAAGAACGACTTGTCAGTGTTATTACTGATTCGTTGACGCACTCAAACACCCCTTATCAGTATTGATAAAATAGAAGCACTGTTATTCAAATGAAATCATACTTCAGTCCAGTATAAATACGCAATTTTCCCTTAAAGCATTCTTTGAAAATAAAATAAAACTGCCTTTTATCCGACCAAAAGAGTTATTAACAGTAAGAGGTTTTGTACGTGAAAACAATGCCATTTCTGACGTTCTTTACGTCAGAGTAACCGTTTAGGGACAATTGTACACTTTTAGAATTAGACAATAGGCGTGGATTTCATTGGACTGACAATAATCAATGTTTTAGCAAGTCTTAGTCTGCTCGAGTTAGTGACTGTGCAGAGGTGATATTTAACGGACATTTGATCATGAGTCAAAAGCCAAGGAACGATTTACTATTTAGGGCTTGTAATCAGACAGTAGATGTTGTTCGGCCTTCTAAGATTGTCCGTATTATTTATTTCAGTAGTTCAATTTACAACATAGAAATCTACATGTATTGTCGCGATTCCACGACAGACGGTTTATTACCACGGCGTATAGTGAAACGTGAATTTTATTTTATCTTTCATTTTAATTGTAAACATGTATATATTTTATGGATTTGCAGTTAATAAAAAAGTTTTCCGCAATAACAAAAAAAAATTGCAAAGCTAATTATAAAATGATCACTAGAAAGAAGAATAAACATTGTGGACATATTTTTTACATACAAAATACGAAAAAAAAAAACAGACGCACAGGCATTGACTTGTATAAATGCAGTCCAGTACAATTGTTCGCAGAGTGGGTATTCTTTCATTCTTCCCTGGCAAAGACAATTAATTATACGTTACAGAATTAAAATATCTCTAGTTAGACAATAGATGTAGAACGTCCAATTATAAAATTGCATGCACTTCTAAGGCTGTTTTAATTAATTAATTTATTAGTTGTTTTTTTGGAAGGTCGTAATCAATTTATTTTTACATTGTTCGTCGTTCACGACAATTTATTTTTACACTTTTCACGATTAGACAATATTTGTAGATCTCATTTGCAATTCCCCCGTGGATAATCTCCTAACTGTTATTCTTATGTTGTGATTTAATTATAGTTCTAGTTGATGGGTTTATAAATGTAAAAAGTTTTTTTGTCAGGTGAGCGTTTGTCTTTGTCGCAGCGCAGCGTGTCTTTTATTAATCAAAACAATTTACAACTAAATTTTATGTCCTTTATTTTTTTAAAATAACTTTTATAAAAGTTTAAATAGAAAATACCGATTTTAAACCGTAAGGCGAGTATTTTCATCATTTCGCGACAACGATAGATATTTTATTTTTACATTATACAATAGAAGACGATTCTAGTACAAACTCAAATAAACAATCAGCCAATATTTAAGGATTTTTAAGGATTAATGTACAAAATAATTAATTTTATACTGTGAAAAACAAAGAAATTTTTTTAACTATTTCGGATAAATTAAAGAAGTCGATGAAATCTACATCTATCTACAGTCGCCGCGACAAAGACAATAAATATTAACTAATAATGAAACGAAACTATTTTGAGAAAAGCAGTTTAGAAAAGCTGGAAAAGGAAAAAATGTCAGGATATTTTTCTGTGCTAACAACCTAACAACAAAGACGATAATATCAACGAGGAGGAACCATTGTGCAATCGTTGTTTTTGTCTTAAAAGTATCTTCAATTTTGTCCGTGATTTTTTTTTTTTTTTTCAAAAGACAATTTTTTGCTTTATACCAAATAAAGAAATTTCCACGATTAGAATCGAAATCACTTACAATCTATTTTTTAATAAATTCTTGTTTAATCAGATAAAACAAGCCTTTCAAATTGAAGAATTAAGTCTAATGGAACTGCGGCCATCTACTTCTTATTGTCTAATTACAAAGTCTGGAAATGTCATGGCAAAGAAGAGGTCCTCGGTTCTCGACGAAGGGCACGATTTATTGGACAATTGAACAAAATACTTCTACTAAGTGTAACTACTACAAAGTGGTTTATAATAATTTCAAACATTTCGTTGATTTTTTATTGCGTTACGATAGTGCTACAAGCGACTTATGGAGAAGAAATCCATTTATTACATTTCTTAAGGGAACACTTCACTTTCCTCACTTAAGAGAAAATTGCGAGGACATCTATTTAGGCGACTTAGAGGTTGGTTGGGAAGGGATCAGGATGAAAGGTGTCTGACTAGGAGGTTGGGATGAGGGATTTTACGGAGGCGTCTACAGGCTTCATTTGCCTACCTATCTTTACCTATTTATCTTATTATTATTCTATTATTGCTTGTTGAGTATGTACCTTTTTTATATTTGTTATTTATTTCATGTGCACAATTTTGATGGTTAACAATTCATCTTCAAAGATGGTTATAGTTGAGGGACATGTGGTGCTCATACTCTCCTTTTATTCAAGTGATTTCAAATTTTCCCTAATAATGATTATTTTGTAAATTGTTTTTTATTGAAGCAACATTAAAATGTATATGTTTTTATCTTTAATTTATTGATACTCTTCTTTAAGGAACAACATGCTTTAGCATCACTGGTGCTCTTAAAAAAAGCACCACTAAAGACTGTAATTAATCTACAGCTATCTCTGATTTATCAGAGCAAATATTACACTGTGAAAAACCATTAAACATAACTATTAAAAAATGGAAAGATAAACCAAAAGAAGGTTTTTGCCATTTCATGCCAGATTTTTTCTTCTTTTGGTTTATCTTTTCATTTTATTTTTTTTAGTAGTTATGTTTAATGGTTTTTCACAGTGTAATATTTTCTCTGATAAAAAAGTGATAGCTGTACATTAATTACAGTCTTTAGTGGGTGTTTTTTAAGAGCACCAGTGATGCAAAGGCTGTTGTTCCTTAAATAAGAGTATCAATACATTAAAGATAAAAATATATACCTTTTGATGTGGCTTAAATAAAAAACAATTTACAAAATAATCATTATTAGGGAAAATTTGAAATCCCTTGAATAAAAGGAGAGAGGAGAAGAAGAAGAAAATAAACTTTTTTTCTGAGTCTTAAAGCCCCTTTGAATAACAAAGCTACATTGTAGTGCCGTAAGCTACATAATTTAGACTTGGGCTCAATACAAATACTTTAATAATAATCAACGACGAATAAATACTTTCAGGAAAAAAATTCTAGTCCTTTGTGCGCAATTCTAGGTCACATTTATTAAACTGTTTTTGCCCCTATGTTTACCACACTGAGCAGATTAAACCCAATGTCAGTTGAAGAGAAAACCTTGAAGTCAAAGTCAACTATGTTAAATTTTTTCCATTATACATGCACCCAGGCATTTATTGTAAATAAACATAAAAATTAAAGCAGGAAAGTTGTATCCACCATTGCATTAAGAAAGCCTGAAATTATGATCAGTAATTTTTCCCCTTGCTATTTAGAATACATAGTAAAAATAGCTAATGACTAGAGTCATTAAAATATTCAAGTTAAAAGTTACTCATCAGTCTTATCTGTCAACCAAATAAGCGAGAAGTAAAATACAAAATTAATTTGTGTAAATACCAACAGAACTCCTTGCTATTATTTCAATACATTTTCATAATTAATTTGCCCAACAACTAATGAATTGGATTATAATTTTAGTTAAGGACAATTGAACTATCAATACTGCAAGCAATTAATTTGTTTAAAAGCACCAAAAATAGCATAATAGACAATATTATGCCAAAATCACAAATATTATAGAGAAAAAAAATCCTTTGTACCATTTATTGTGTATTAAATTGGAAAACTTGCAATAAAACATTAAATGTGAATGGTTGGGATATTATTGTTTGAACATTCTCACCAAAGATTTCTTGACCAACAGATTATATAAGGTAGTTCAATTGATTATATTGTCACATTATTAATATTACAATCAATATTTTTAACAAATTACAGACATTTTTTTAAATTCAACCTGAGAGAGACAAGAAAAGAAAAGCAAAGAAAGCAAACCGGTACAGGGTCCCTTATTGGGTCTGTCTCCACTCACTTTTTTCCCTTTTTTTAAATTAAAGATTCAAATGCGTTTTAGCATTGCATCAGTAATATCATCAGTTCCGCCTGGTGATTGGAACACAACTCGGCTAGTCTGTACTGTGTAGTATGGATGAGTGTACCATTTTGATCACATACCATGAATATGCATCACACTTAAGAGTTTATTTTGTTTTCATCATATCTGGGAAAGTCTATGGGTTTGGGTTTCCTCTTCAATCGGACTTATATTGTCTATAATGTATGGGTTGGTAGGATGTGGACTGGTAAATATATAATAAATACACAAGTCAATGATGTATGAAGGTCATCATGATTGCCATCTTCTTGTATGTATGCAAAGACGGCAATCTCAGTTCCACTTATATTACAGTACTAGGGCCCTGTGATGTTAAGACATGCCGATCTTTTTAAATTGATTTGGTGTATTTTTTTACAAGATTTTTGGCCAACGGGTTCCATATGTGACAAAAGGTCTAATATTTTTATGTTATAAAACAATCTATTTGTTCACTGAATGTGGACAATGGTGGTCTAGAATATGAGAAAGTAGAAGTTCATACCACTTATGTGTTTATCAATGTTACAAAACATTTTTTTACCAAATCAGTCAGAAAAAATAGAAATTTATTGTGTCAATATCAGACTTCAACAGCAGTACTACTGCACTCATACTAAATCAGAGGCTTTTTCATAACGTTTTATGAATGAATTTTCCATTACAGCAATGTTTTAACATATTAAAACGCCTAGAATCTGAAAATAAACTCGATTTAAAGAATTTAAATGTCAACCTATAGATAAATGTCATGATGCTGGTTTTCACGAGTGTGCGCAAATTGCGAAAACCATTTTAATCAATGCCTGTTTGAACCTGCTGATGTTTTATCATTTTAACCTTTTAATTCTTCTCCTAAATTTTCATTTGTTTAAAATGAAACTAATAAAATAAGCAATAATAAATAATGAATTATCGTTGGTAAACATTTTGAAACCTTCCCGGTTCAGTGTCGCCTTATCCGTTTGTTGTGTATAGACGTTCTGCATCGTTTTTTACCAGGTATGGACAATATTCAGGATTACGACGATTCCGAAGAAGAGATCGGGCCCCCGGTACCAGAAGAATATAGAATAAATTATGATGACGTCGAAATGAAGAACGCGAATGATACACAACACGGGGAAAGGGATGAAAAAGGGCAAGTACCTAAAGAGTATGAGCAGGATGAGATAGAACCTCCAGTACCTAAGGAGTACGAGCAGGATGAGATAGGACCTCCAGTACCTAAGGAGTACGAGCAGGATGAGATAGGACCTCCAGTACCTAAGGAGTACGAGCAGGATGAAATAGGACCACCTGTGCCAAAAGAATATGAACAGGATGATGAAATTGGGCCTCCTGTGCCTAGAGAATATGAAGAGGGTAGTGACATAGGACCTCCAGTTCCTGAAGACTACGAGCAAAGGGACAGCGATAGCGATGAAAGCGATGAAGAAGAGATGGACGTAAATAAAGACATACCAATCACTTCAAATGTAACAATGGCGCACGGTATAAAGCCCGTTGTCGCTCTGAGCCTCGACCCTTCAGGTACAAGACTGGCATCTGGATCCGTAGACTATGACGTGCGATTCTGGGATTTTGCCGGAATGGACAGCACACTCCAGAGCTTCCGTACATTAACACCTTGTGGTAACAATCCTATAAAAGCACTCGATTATTCAGCGACGGGTGATAATGTTCTGGTCATATCTGGTATGTCGCAAGCTAAAGTTTTAGACAGGGATGGCCATGAAAAATTCGAATGTATTAAAGGAGACCAGTATGTGAGTGACATGGCGATGACGAAAGGTCATGTTGCACCTTTGACAAGCGGTTGTTGGCATCCAAGAGTGAGAGAGGAGTTCCTTACAACAGCTCTCGACTCGACATGTAGAGTTTGGGTTGTAAAACGGCCCAGTAAACACATCGGCCTGATCAAATGCCGAGCGAAGAATGGTTTAAAAACAAACCCAACAGCTTGTTGTTACAACAGAGATGGAACAATAATAGCATGTGCTTGTGTTGACGGTTCCGTTCAGCTGTGGGACAGGCGGAAAGCTTTTGTCAACCCATTGAAAATGCTACGTGATGCACATAGTTGCAACACTGAAACATCATCTGTTACGTTTTCTTACGGCGGATTCCTTATAGCAACAAGAGGAGGTGACGATACGTTAAAACTATGGGACATGAGGAATTTCAAAAAGTCTTTATTTGAAGTGGATAATCTCTACTCAAGATACAGTAGTACAAACTGTATGTTTAGCCCTAATGATTCTCTTCTGATGACCGGAGTATCTGTCGAGAAAGGTGAATCAGAAGGCAAAGTGTTTTTTTATGATACAAAAACGTTAAGCCTTTCGAAAAGCCTGGATGTTTGTGATTCTCATGTCATTCAAGTTAATTGGCACCCGAGACTTCAACAGATATTCATGGGCTGCGGTGATGGTACTGTAAGAGCTTACTATGGAGAAGCAAAGACAGGACGTGGGGCACAACTCTGTGCTCAGAAGAATCGCAAGAAGTCCAAACAAGTCGAAGTCATCGCAGCCCAGCAGATCATAACACCTCACGCACTTCCGATGTTCAGGCAAGAAAAGCAGAAATCGACTCGGAAGAAGTTGGAAAAAGAAAGGCTCGACCCTGTTAAATCGAGGAGACCAGATTTGCCCATCAATTCAGGCCAAGGAGGACGTGTTGCCGCATCAGGAAGCACGCTCAGCTCTTACGTTATTCGTAATCTGGGTCTGAGCAAACGAGTCGATGACGATCAAGATCCAAGAGAGGCCATTCTTCGTTTTGCAAAAGAAGCTGAGGAAAACCCTTACTGGATTGCACCCGCATACAAGAAAACTCAACCAAAAACTATATTTCAGACAGAAGCAACAGATGACAAGGATCAACCAGCTACTAAGAAAACTAAAATGTAAATTGTAAATATTTGTAAATGTAATGATTTATTTTGGTTATTTTAAAACTCTTCTTATTTAGTTTTTAAACTAAAAATGAATTAAGAATTGGATTTTAATAGGAAAAAATATACAACACAATATATATATTGTATATAATTAATCTTTTAAATTAAGAAAATTACAGATTCTAATGGAAAACCAAGTTGTTTTTTATTTTTATGGTGTACATCCGATCCCATAAAAAGCAAATGTTTTTCAAGTTGGTCACAAATGAAGTTTGATCATCCTGGTTTCAGATTCTTGTCGGTTTGTCCACCAGACACATTTTGGCTGTTTAGTATCGAAGAAAAAAAAAATTATAAGATGGTACAGTGGTTCTAGAAGTCTCCAAAAATTATTGAGATTGTGAACATAGTAACATTGCAATCAGTTGATCAAACAATAAGTACAACACAGGCTTAAAAAGAAATATCTGTTGATACAGGGCTAATAAAGGGCTGTGTACCTGATCTTTTGTATATATAATTATGCCAGGTAACCAGAAAAGTTCCTGCCTGGTTTAAAACTTTAATTGTCACAATTGAAATTGTGAACTATTTTATTCAGTGAAATAAACTTCTTTGCCTATAAAACCTTCTTCCAATGAATTATTCACCCAGTTATGCCCTTCCTTAGATCGTGACTTCTCAAACTCTGGTCTGAGGACTCCTTTGGGTCCGCCGACCCTTACTAGGGGGTCTCTAGCAGAGAAGAATTAATAATTACAAAAATGAAAATAGAATGAATAAATAAAATTTTTAAAAACTAATAACAATGAACGAAAACGAAAGTTTTTTATTTTGCAGCAGCAGATATTTTATCCACAGTCATGCTTTAGTTACTAAATAAATGCCAGCTTCTTTCAATTAAGTTTTAAATTAATTATATCAAGTTGCACCCATTGAAGTCAAGACTTTTCACAATAAAAAAATGGAGCTTGCAATCATTATCAAGATCTGCAGCTATCAAAAATTAAACCAACATATCCAAATTGTGCAGGCTAAAACAACCCCACTCTTCCCATTCATCATTAATGTTCAAATTATAACTTTTGAATTTTCACATACCTACGGATTCTGTTCTGTTAATTTGATTTTTGTTCAGATTTTGTAAATAAAGTTACGTATGTTAATCTAATGTTTGTTTTCACAGTGATAACCTTTCAATGGAATGGACTTGCTAATTTATAAACTTTAATTTAATGCATATTCCTTAAGTATCTGATTTTAAATACTTAAATCAGGGGCCCGCCCTGGATTTTGTTCTGTGAAAGGAGTCTGCTGGCTAAAAAATTTGGGAACCCCTGCTCGAGATGTTTGAGTCCTGTGTCTTAAAAAATAAATTTAGCTCAATTTCCAGCTGTTGGCGATTGTTGAATTCTTGATTTGTTATTTCTTGGGGCTAGTTATCATCGCATTTCACCACCCTCCAGGTTTTTGGAAATGTTCCTTTGTTTCCTTCTGGGTTGGCAAGACATCAGGTTTACAAAGAGTAAAAAAATACAGCATTCCTTATAATATTGACTTACACTAACAATAACTAGTCTAACTTATTTACTTTAAGTCATATTAAAGATTTAAACTAATAGTTTTAAGGAAAACACAAATTTACTCTCGTCAATATGATCTATAAGAAAAATAAGAAAAATTATCAAAGTTTTGCAAGAAATAAGTTTCAAGAAAATTATTTATGTGGATATAGTACTATTAATTTATTTAAGTATTATTAAGTAATAAAGTTCTGACAGAATATAACAATCGATTATAGTTCTTATTACATTGTTGATAATTTTTGGTTTTCAAATGATAGCCGATATCAGTTGCTTTTTTTTAGTCTTTTAATATTTGGGTAAACAAAAATTCTTTAACATTTATTGAAAGGATTTAATATTAACTCACAGAAAACAAACTTTAGCCTTGGAGAAAATAAGCTTTAAATTTTTTTTTGTTATTTTTGTTACAAAAACTTATGGATTCATTTTTTACATTAAATTATTAAATTTCTATAGTCATGTGATTTACGATGATCTTGTTTATCCATGGTGGGATCAAAGCATCAGTGCAGATTAGGATGATCAACGACTGAATTACAGTGGAAGGCCAAAAAAAAGGACTTTGAGTACATTCCACATGTCATAGATCTCAATAAAATATCCTTTTCTATTTTGGTCATTTCCTATAAAACCAGGACTACCGTAGATGTCAAGATGCAGGATCAGGAGCAGGAAATGCTCAACAAAATATATTTAGCTGGGTTTCTATTGCACAATTTTTGTTCACAGTCTGTGTAAATGCACTTGTCTCGACTATGAGAATGAACCAGGAGGAGTACATTAGACTTATCCGAATATATTGCAGTTACCTATTTTTGTGCTAAAGATAAAACTTATCACAACAAGAAGGAAGGAAATTAGCATCAAAATGGGACAAACTGTTGGTACTCTTAAAGCGAAAATGAAAACTCTAATGTGGTTCGCCAATGAAATAATTCTTTGATCCAACAGCATTTTCTTCAAGGAAACCCAGATTTTATATATTTATTTATTTATTTTAATAGAAAAACATACATTAATACTGGCTTTTATCTTGAAGCAGACATCAGTTCACTTTAGTGGACTGTTCCATTTAAAAACAATGTTTAATGTGTTATTAACTGAATTGAAATTTAATTAAACCTCAAATTTGTGTTTAAACCTATTTGCAGAAATCATGAATGATGCGATCAAGCAGAAAAAGAAAGGAAAAGAGGTCGAGTGGAGGGTGCTTGTCGTGGACCAACTTGCGATGAGGATGGTCTCGGCATGTTGTAAAATGCACGAAATATCTGCCGAAGGGTTAACAAGTATGGATAATCTTGTATTGAATTTTATTTTATTTGGGTTAAATATATTTTGTCTTTAAGTCGTGGAAGACATCCACAAGAAAAGGGAGCCACTGCCGACAATGGAGGCTGTTTACTTGATAACTCCGAGCGAAAAATCAGTCCACGCTCTGATGAATGATTTTGCCTCTCCGAACCGCAGCATGTACAAAGCAGCCCATGTATATTTTACAGAGGGTGAGTATGCTCGAGTCAAATATCCCCATTATAAGGCCCGTTAAAGATAACAAAATAAAATCTAGTTATTTTGAAATATTTATAATTTAAAATGATAAAAATACTAATGATTTTTCAACATTAAAAATATTTAAAAAAAAATACTAACATTGTTATAAGATTGTAGTTTATTTTTGGACTGGGTGTTCATTGTTCACAGCATGCCCAGAGACCTTATTTGATGAGTTGGGTCATAGCAGAGTCGGAAAGTTTATTAAGACGTTGAAAGAGATTTACATTGCTTTCATACCTTATGAACAGCAGGTAAAATGTTTAAAGAAATCGAGAATAACTAACAATAATAAGTGGCTCGCCATTAATGCCAAATGGTGTCGGTTTCTTAACCCGTACTAAACAAAAAAAAAATCAATGCCTGCTTTCATAATGTTTGTTAAATATTTGCCTTCCTGTTTTAATAAACATGTATTTTTTTCACTGCTCAGTCTGTCAGGAGGAATTGTTTAACGAGTTGTGCAAGTCTTGTGCAGCAAGAAAAATTAAGACGTTGAAAGAAATCAACATTGCTTTCTTGCCTTATGAAGGCCAGGTCTGTTCATGCAAATAAAATGATACATGTAGCATGGATTTATAAATTGATCTATTGTTTTTTAAAACGTTTGCTTGTAGCGTCCAACTTAACCAAAAGTTATAGTTAACATTGTACCGCTTTATGTAGTGTGCACGCTATTTTGAATTTTGTACATATTAACGATAAATTTTCAAAGATTGAAATTTAATGAGGCTTTATGGGACTTAGTGAAGTGTTGAGCATGATATTTTTTCTTTCTCCTTTTGCTAAATGGCTAAAGTCACGGTTTTTCTTCATTGAAGTCTGTTAAGACTTGTTCTTACAGGTGTTTTCACTTGACGCCCCAGAGACTTTTCAGTGTTTTTACAACCCTTCCCTCATCAGCAGCCGTGTCGCAAATATGGAAAGGATAGCCGAACAAATCGCCACACTATGTGCCACTCTTGGAGAATACCCGGCTGTAAGATATAGGAGGTACTTTTTTTTTTGTTACTTTCTAAGAACAGACAGTAAATAATATTTTATCTGGTGGGATAATCATGTTTTTTAATTTTTTATTGCAGTGATTTTGACAGAAATGTAGAGTTGGCTCAGCTCGTACAGCAGAAGTTGGATGCTTACAAAGCCGACGAACCGACAATGGGTGAGGGTCCAGAAAAGGCTCGTTCTCATCTACTTATTCTCGATAGGGGTTTCGACTGCGTCTCTCCACTCCTCCATGAGCTAACTCTGCAAGCCATGGCATACGATCTTCTACCGATCGAGAATGATGTTTACAAGTAAATATACATAAAAATTCTTAAATAGTTGTTTTTATGTTCAAAATTTATTGGGTTTTGCCTCTAGGTATGAGGCAACAGCCGGGCAGCCTGAAAAAGAAGTCCTTCTCGATGAAAATGACGAACTTTGGGTCGAACTGAGACACCAGCACATCGCCGTTGTTTCACAGTAAGTTTGTTTTATTTTTGTTTTATTTATTTAAAAAAAAATCATTTTTATATATTTTTTTTAAAGGAATGTAACTAAAAATTTGAAAAAATTCATTGACTCGAAACGAATGCCCCAAGGAGACAAACAATCCATGAGGGATTTAAGCCAGATGATTAAAAAGATGCCTCAGTACCAGAAAGAACTTTCAAAATATTCCACTCATCTTCATCTGGCTGAAGATTGCATGAAAGCTTACCAAGGTTATGTTGATAAGCTTTGCAAAGTTGAACAGGTAATTTTTTGTATAGGTTTTATTTGACAAATCAAGATCAATTAAAAAAATTATTATCTTTTTTACATAATTACATTTGATAGGATTTGGCGATGGGAACAGATGCCGAGGGGGAACGCATCAAGGATCACATGAGGAACATTGTTCCCATCCTTTTGGACCAGGCGGTTACCAATTACGACAAGATGAGGATCATCCTTCTCTACACACTGTCCAAAAACGGTATTTCAGATGAGAACCTCAACAAACTGGTCCAGCACGCCCAGATCCAACCTCATGAGAAGCAGGCCATTGTCAACTTGGGCAATCTTGGGCTTAATGTTGTTGTCGATGTTCGTATTCTGCATATTGCCAATTAATTAAATAATATTTAACTGAAAAAAATAATCTCTTGTAATGCAGGGCCCAAGGATAAAAATATACACACCACCCAGGAAAGAGAGGATTACTGAGCAAACGTATCAGATGTCAAGGTGGACACCAGTCATCAAGGATTTAATGGAGGACTGTATAGATGAAAAGCTCGATATTAAGCATTTCCCTTATCTTGCTGGTCGAGCAGCCTCCTCAGGTTACCATGCACCATCAAGGTAAAAAAAAATAAAAAAATAAAAAATTAAAAGGTAAAATAAATAATGTAAAATTTTCAGTGTACGGTATGGACATTGGCATAAGGACAAAGGACAACAGACAGTAAAAAATGTTCCTAGGCTTATTGTTTTCATTATTGGTGGTGTTACTTACTCAGAGATACGCTGTGCCTATGAAGTTACCAACGCTGTAAAAAATTGGGAAGTGATAATTGGTAAGAGTTTTGATTTTATAAATTTTTATATTCTATTGATCAAAAATTAATAACTAATGATTTATTGATTGATCAATATATTCAATTATAGAATGTATCACCCATGTGATATGTTCCTCCGATAATGCACATCCATTTTGAAATGTTAGAAAAATTATATTTATTTTGTAAAAATATTTATTTCGCGGTTTTTGATGTGCATTGCCTAAGAATGCTTGGACATGTATATATTTTTTGACCTAGTATCTCCAAAAAAAGGTTTCATTAAAATTTGCCATACAACATTCGTAGCCTCCATCTTGTCTTAAAGGATGGACATGTCTGCAGTTAGCCTGTTAGTTAGACTTTTTTGACCAAAAATAAAATGAAATATTTCTTTATTTTTTAACATTCACTGTCCCAATGTAGTGCATTTGTTTGAATTATTTTTCTCAGGTTCATCCCACATCCTCACACCTGAAGACTTCCTTAGCAATCTGTCAAACTTGAGCAACTAAGAGGGAGGAAGATGAGTAGCCTCAGCATTAAAAATTCATCTTAACCTTTTTAACATATTTTTCTTCTCATCACACAAAGAACCCGTCGTATTCATAAGTCACTATTAACATAGACACCAGCACAAATCACATCCCACCGCTGCGTTACCAATAAATTTAAAAAAAAAAAAAAATGGGGCTTAAAACAAGAAAATTAGCAAAACAAAAATATTTAAATCAAATTGTTTTTGCCATAATTGCCTTATTTTTACTTATCATTACTATTTAACAATAATAACTTCTGTACTTATGACTTTACCCTGTAAATTTTTGTCCTTTTTTTGTTTTTAAGTTAAATAAAATAAAAATTGTGCTACTGTCCATGTTTGTTAACGTTAATTGGGATTGATTTATTTGAGAGTTCAATACAAAGCGATTGAAATATTTAATTTATAATATTTAAAAAATGATAAAAGAAGCCTTATTCTTGTCATTAAGAAAAAGCTTTCAGTAGTTTTAGTTATTAAGATCTAGGTACTGTTAAATAGTACCATTGTATATAAAAATACAATTGTAGTAAAACAGATTTTTTTAAAAATCACAATGGATATAAAAAAAACTTTTTGACTTACATTCCAAATACGATTATGGTAGTGATTTAGTTCGAAGACTTGTTTTAGAATTTTGTAATGATCAGAGATATTTTTAAAATGACCCTTTAGATGTTTGAAATCCATTTAAAAGGTAAATTGTATCATTTTGAGCAACTCTTAAAAAAAATTATAAAAGAAAAAAGGCCTAAATCTGTAAATCTAAATTTCTCCTCTGTATTAAGAAAATATTTAAAAAAAATTAAAATGATGCTAACTAGTCTTAACTTCCATTTATTATTTAAAAAAATAAAAATAAAAAAAACTTTTGGTTGAGTCAGTAGTGACTAAATAACACAACCATATTTTTGATTATGTGCTTATTTATTGCAAGTATTTTAATTATTATATGTGTTATCAATTGTTTAATTTAATTGTATTTTATATTTTGGAATATATATATGCAGTGTATGCTGGTCTTGAAGTGAGATAATTGAGAAAAACTAATTATTAGATCAACTTTTACCTAGCTTATATACAAGTATATATAGAAAAATAGATATACATTTTTTTATGTTTATCTTTTAAACGGATAATGGCTACTTTGTAAAAAATTAAGGAAAATGGAATAACAAAATAATAAATTGTGAAACTTTTCCTTGCGGGGTGATGAACCCAAGAAGTAAAATTGTTTTTCAGTATTTTACAAGGTATTGTGCATTTTGACAAATATGTTATTGAATTTACCTTGTATAGAATTTATATAGCTAGCTTTTATTTAATACATTCAGAAGTTGCAATAAATTGCTGGTGTGAAATTGTTACATAATGAAAACTGTAATTGTTGAAATTGTTAAAAAAAAGCAAATAAGTGTAGTTTTCCTTATTGCTATTTTGTGAGATTTATAAGATTGTTTTTTTAATTGTTATTTTTTAAAATTAGCTTTTCAAATATTAATATGACTTTTTCAAATAGTATATTTTTCTCCTTGCGGTAAGTTGAGGTATAAAGGGGAAGAAAAATAATATATTCGGGTAAATGTGTATTGTTAGCTGATTGAATTTTAATGAACTTGTTAACATTAGACCGAACAACGCTTGAAAAGTGGAGAACGGCTATTTTAAAACTTTTGCTTTCGTGTAGTGCTACATTACAATAGAATTTTGAACAATTAATAAATATTTAACCAATTTTATGAATATATTTCTATAAACAATCTTTAAAAAAAAGAAAAAACAAACCAAAGTTGTTATTTAGATGTAAATGTTTAATCTTTAGCTGTTTTTAACTTATAAGTTTCAAAAACAAAGAAATAAAGAAAAACTGAAAGGTAAGGCAATATTCTAATTTCAATTTATGTAGTACTTTAACAAGTACACTAAATATTATATAAATTTGTAATAGAAATCATAATGTATTAATTATATTATTTCTACTTAAATTTAGCCTAGTATCATGCACATGCATAGTATATTGTTTGTAACAAAATACAAATTATAAATTTAAAAAATTGCCAACATTGAGAACTAAACTGATAGTGCTGTCAGATATTATAAATATATATACAGAGTCAATACTAATCGAATGTAATTTTTTTTAAACGGTTTTACCCTTTTATAATCATCACATCTAGGATTAACCAGGTGCTAAACAATGTTCCTCAACACATACACACACAAAAAAAAAAACCTGGTATGCTGTGATGAAAAAGCAGAAACAGAACATGTCCTATGTGGCTGCAAAGCCAGGAACGGTACAGCCAGCCTTTTTGTTAACAAGTAACACTTAGGGAGTAAGTGAAGAAGAACTTTGGAAAGTGCTTAACTACCTTGAGGATAGTACACTTTTTGTGTTTGGAAATAAATAAGAGTCAATTCTTTTAGGTCACAGTGGAAGAAAAGGTCTCCAGTGACTCCAGGGATTTTTTTTTAACTTAACGAGGGTTTGTAACAGCAGAGGTCATATCAACTGCTGTCTCGTTTTGCAGATTTGTAAACAGGTTTGATCAATAACACAATTTTACGAATAAAATGGAAAAAGCGAAAGTATAAGAAAAAAAATTGCATTGTAAATTTTATCAGTAAGTTTCTGATCCTGGTGTTTCAATGTTGAAGTTTATCACAGTCAACGCTGTGTTGTCTCCCTTTGTAGGTTTGTAAACGATCAAGAATACAATTTTATGAGTAATTTCATGGTCCACTTGACCAATTAATGTATTACAATTAATTAAGGTTTTTAGTTGAGATAAAAAAGTCAATGGCACTAGCGGGATTCGAACCCACGAACTTCGGCTAGATACGCCGCTGCTATCGTGACCTCGCTCCACTCAGACACCAACTTCCCATCTCAACCCCACCTTTTGAGATTTCCCTCCTTTTTGCCATTTTTCAAATGTCGTGTAATCAGATTGGATTCTTGGCGACAAATGAAAAGGCCACGGAGAGCTTTAGTGAAGTATACTTCATTTTAATTCATTAAATTCACTAATTTCATGGTCCGCTTGACCAATTATTATATTATATTAATTATATTATCTCAACTAAATACCTTAATTAATTATAACTGGCAAAAAGGAGGGAAAATTCAAAAGGTGGGATTGAGATGGGAAGTTGGTGTCTGAGTGGAGCGAGGTCACGATAGCTCAAGTGGTAGAGCAGCGGCGTATCTAGCTAAAGATTGTGGGTTCGAATCCCGTTCGTGCCATTGACTTTTTTTATCTCAACTAACAACCTTAATTAATTGTAATTTATGAGTAAAATATAAAAAGTAAAATAAATCAATTTAAAAAAGAAAAGTTCTAATGGGACGTGAACTGTAATGTTTATTGTTCTGGTGTGTTAAAGATGAATTAAGCATAGCTAATGATTCGTGTAGCCTTGCTATATAGAAAGGGTTAAATCAATAATAAGATTTAACACATAAAATTTTTAAAAAAACCCAAATCTATCGCCTGGATGTTAATGTGATAATTTTATTTAAAAAAAAAAAAAAAAAAAAAAAAAAAATGGTCATATCAACCCTTGGGGTGTTGGTGTTTTTGAAAAAAAAAAAGCCCACATGTAAGTATGTCGGCCCTGCTTTGCACCCGGGATCTTTACCTTACAACGATAAGCAGCATGTCAATGCCTTAACCGTTAAGGCCACCAAAGTTCAAGTCAATTCTCTCTTTACAAGTCTAGTTAGTTAGCATGTTAGCATTATGACTGTAGTAGTACATATGACTGTAAGATTTCTTATAATTATTGCCAAAAATAACAGATATTCTTTGTAAAAATACAATTAAAAATTGATATGTGCAAATAATTTACTATGAAGTAATGAAAAAGATTTTTTATTAATTTACAATACTACAATATACAATAAAAATATTCATTTCTTTAAAAATAACAAGTAAACATTATCTACCACGGGTTAAGCCATTTGTTGCGTGAATCTTTTACTAGCGTTTCAGCGTCCAGACGTGCAGGATCGGTCTGGAAGTCCAGGGTGAGTTGGAGGCGTTCTGAATCCGCCCGGAGGGTCTTGGACACCAAGAACTCCCCATTTTCCTTCAGATAGCCTGCACTGAGATTTTCCTCATCAGGCAGGCCGTTCGGTGTCCTTATGGGCTGGATCTTAATCAAGTGTTTGATCTTGTACAAAGTTTCCGCTACTTCTGGTATATTTTTGACGATAGCGATATCGCTGACCTGAAATTAAGACGTTAGTTTTTGTTAATATTTAAAAACAAATTAGTCTCAGACCTTCCCATTAAGTTTTAATTCGACTAATATTTTTTTATGGTAGTATGGAATTCCTCGGAATGGCTTTATTCGCTGAACCATCAGTAGTTTGGTTGGCTCATAAGGTTCATCTTTCTGATCAGGAAACCTGTAAAACAAGACTCATATAAATAAAACAAAAATGAATAATTTTGCCTATCAAGAGAGTAAAAATAGCATAAATACACAAATAATTACAGGTTATTAAGAAATTATTCTAAGACCACTTGAATTTTCCACTAATTAAAACAACACAAAAGTGCATGGGAGGTGTGGCTTGGTGCTAAAAGCTGGGGACTAAACCCCAAAATGGCCATGGCTCTTTTTAAACCTGTGTCAATATAGATATTGATTGGAGTGATAGACCAAGACCTTGCAGGCTAAGGCGATCAGGGACTTAAATACAGCTTGCCTCAGTGACTGCACGCCAACTGCAGCCTTTGGAGTTTTGTTAAGCCTTCCGCCACTCCATATTCTAATTCAAGAAGAAGCCAGAGCAGGGGCTCACAGCCTCATAAATGAGCAACCATCTTCAATTTTGGTCAGTCAGCGAACAACAGAAACAGGGAAGAGATACAGGCAGATGCTATACTAGATGTGTGAATCAAACTCCAAAATTTAACCACCAACAAGTAAGTACAAGGTACTTATATCAGAAAGAGAATCCCTCTGAAGGCCAAATCCTTACTGGTAAACTGATGACTCAAAAACGGATAGAGATATGTCCTCAGAGTGAATCCAAAGACTGAAATTACTTTAAATTTAAGTAAATTCACTACAGTTTTTCAGTCAGAAATCATAATTTTCTTTGACAGCCAGGTGGCAGTTAAGACCATAGCCTCTGTGAGGTAAAGGCAAAAAATTGTATTGAATCACTGGTAGAAGTCAGTGATGCCAATGACCCGACCCCTGGCATGGATCCCTGGACAATCAGAGCCTAAAGGTTGGTTAAAAAACAGAGCCAATATGAATTCTCTAGGCTCCGAACCCAACTGTGACTTATCTTTCTTGCCACAAAAAGGATACATCCAAAAATGGGCCCAAAACCAGGAAGAATACGTCAGGCATGAGGCATGCTATGAGATTCTTACATACAAGGGCCATCCATAAAACTTACAAAGGATTGGATAGTAACCGCAACAGAATCAAGATTCTGCTTGGACTACTGACTACTTTCCTGCAAAGGGCCTAGGCGCGGAAAACAAAAGAAGCCTAGCGGTTGGACTACTGACAGGCGCTGTCACCTAAGAAGTCACATGCACCAGATAGATGTACATTCTTGCAACTAAGTACGGAAATGAGCAAGCAAGATCCTACACTAAGAAGCTGCTGGTAAGACTATGGAGGTCTGGACAACCTGAAGCTGGCCAGTGATTTATAAAATTAGAGCAGTATTGATCTCAAGTCGAGGTTCAAAACGCCTTATGGCCACCTCATTTACCCCACTAAATTTTAAATCTTTCCTCATTGCTTTTAATGAAAGAAAAACCTTGCTAAAAAATCCTTTTACAAAACAAAAGTTATAAGAACTCTAATTAGAATAAATACCTTGGGAAATATTTAAAGCCGTCGTACTCAATTCCACCTGTCCAGGACTTGAGACCATTTGTTTGAACCCACTGAACACTGTTATTTATTAAAAACCGGCCTAATTTAAGGGTATTCATTTTTCCCGTTTTATTTCTTGCTGTTAACCGTTATGTTACCTATCCAGCAAGCAGAGGTTGCTGTTTATTTCTGTCAACGGGCATGTGATGACAAGCCAACCTAGTGGCTAAAAGCATAGACATAAACTGAGGGTATTATCACTTGAGTTCTCTATAAAAATTCTTCACCTTATTATATTGGTAATATTCATTATTTGCACACCTTTTAAATGTTGTTAGGTAAGTAATCATTAATTAATAACTTTGTGTTAACTAACTAGTAAAAATTTAAAAACTATTTGGCATGTTATAGCTTCTAAAAAAAAGCAGACATACTTCTAAAACAGCTTCTAAACTTAAATACTTAATTATATCTTTTTTTTGCCTTAAATAATAAGATATAACTCAATCTAAAACTTCAGTTGAATAATATGCATTCAAACCTTAATAAGTGTAAAATTTGTCCAACCGACTTATTTTGAAATGCAATAATCTAATATTAATTATTAACTTAATTTAGTTTAATTGCTATTTATTAATTACTAGCTAATAGTATGTACTTGCGGTATTGTTTTCTTTCATGGTTCAATTATAATATGAAATGCTGCCATAAAAAAAAAACCCTCGACTTAGGGTAAAGAGTGTAAAGTCCCAAGATTCCAAATAGTAAATAGCTCATTTGTACATATTAAAAATAATTTTTATTATTTATAATGGGAATGACTTGAACTACTGTAAATAGAAGCAAAGAGGGCTTAAGCAATAATTTGAAATATAATGAGCACATATTGAAAAGAAACAATGGTACCTGGGTTAACCAATTGCTGTGATAAATAATGTGTAAATAAATATTTTGACTGTTAATTGTTTTATTATACAAAGTGTACTGCAAGTAGATGACAGTACTCAAGGCAGTGAAACTATACAAAAAAAGCATTTAATTGCCCCCAACCACACTATCTCAACCCATTCCAGACATATACCATTTTAAAAGCTTTTTCCCAAGAAACCCACTTTTTTTTATAATAAAAGCCCAATTTTCTTAACTTTTACTCTTTTTTTAATGTTTGACCACATTTTTGACATCAGCGTTAAATTTTCTAAGGCTAAAGCACTTTCACTGTTGACAAGCATCCTATTCAGACTGCAATAATAGTTAACTAAAATTAAAAAAAAAAGTTTTGGACAAATTTTGTAGGATCACTACTCTTACAAAGAAATCCAGACTGACGAACCATTGAAAATGCTTATCCCATCATAAAAGAAATAGATTGTATTCTGAAACAACCTGATGGCTACGCTAGTCAAGATAGCTTGGACGTTGACAACATTTTGAATACTTTTGATGATAATCCATCTACAAGCACTCGCCACGTTGCAAATCAACTTGGTACATCCCACACTACAGTTTAAGGAAGACAGTAGATACTGTCCAGGAGTTGCTGCCCAGTGATTTAGAGCTGTGGATTGTTCAACGGTGTCACAAAAGTTGTTCCCTGATCGCAAAATTTAGACAGATGAAGCAATATTCACACGTGTGGGAATTTTCAACACACAACTCTCACCCTTCGTCTCATGGCAATCCACATGGCATGAGGGAATTCCACTTCCAGCAACAGTTCAGGGTGAACTTGTGGTCAGGAGTTTGTGGGCAGAATAAGACAGCTCGTTTTATTACCTCAGTTAAATTAAAATTTTATAATCAATGTACATATAAGTAAGCACTCCTCAAAGTAATGTCACTTGAAGAACATGGTGGCAGATGTACAGGTGTCCAGTGGTCAAGATATAGCGAACTGGCTCAATCAAATTATCTGGGAAGATGGAAGATGTGGACCTATGCGTTGGCCAGCCTGAAGGCCAGATTTGATACTGCTGGATTTTCATGTGTGGGGTAGGCTTATGTCAGAAGTGTGCAGAGTACACATTGAAGACAGAAAGCAAATGATTACAAGAATTCGATAAACGTCTGAAGATATGAAGGGAAGAGATTCAAATGGCTAAATCAGCAGTGCTGACCAGATGTCAACAGTGTGTTTTGCAAGGAGGAGGACAGTTTTATCAACTTTTATATATNATAATCTAATGTTCAATTTCATCGTAATATGTATTGATTTTGAACTGTTATTATGGTCTGAATAAGATACTTATCAACGTTGAAAGAGCATTAGCCTTAGAAAATTTAACACTGATTCCAAAAATGTGGGCTAGTGTAAAAAAAGTAGTGAAAATTGGGCTTTTATTAAAAAAAAAAAAAAAATGTCTGGAAAGGGTTGAGATAGAAATGTGTGTTTTTTGGTTAGTTGGTTATTTTTGGTTTAGTTTCACCACCTGGAGTATTGTCATTCTACTTGCAATACACCCTGTATATTGTATGTTCTTGAATATTCTTATTGTTTTATTTATTTTCTCTGTATTTGTTGAACTCATGTACCTGCATCTAATGTATCTCTAATACCTTTATTGTATTGTCATACATAGTTTCCTCCTCACAAATTCCCTTAAACCCATGTATTTTTATATGACTAAATTTCATATTATAATTGGTTGACCTTTATACACTTATGCTAGATCCCACTACCAAATCAAAAAAAAATTATTTGCTGAACATCCAACTAATAGATAACATGTAATTTCATATGTCCTTAATTCTTGTTTCCTTTGATAGTGCTATATATTGGTGATGTGATGGGGCTCGGGGTGATGCCTGTCATTGGCCTTAGTTGTTGGTTATTGGTCAGTCTTTAGCTGTATTGAGTGGTTCTTCCCTGGATTTGAGATTTTGAGATCAAAGTATATATTTTAAAAAAAAAGTTAAATAATGTTTAAAAGATTTAATTGCAAAAGTTCCTTTGGGGTTCCGTTCTTTCCACCCTGGGCTGTTTGCACGGCCCTGATGCTGCTCAGACTTAAGGCTTATTAACGTCCATTACAAGTCGCTATCTTAAAGTTTTATTAAAAAGAAATCTTAGGTGACATTTTTAATAAAACAAAAATAAAATTTTCAGAATAAGTTGAGATCATTATTTTGATTTTTTATTTAATTAATTTAACAGCTAGGCTTTCGTTTGACATTATTTTGATTTTAATACAAAAATTTCATTGGAAGAAGAGTGTATCTCCAGAGTGAATACAGCTGTCACAGTCTTAAAGACTAGGTTTGATACGATTTCCCAGCCGGTTTAACAATAACAAAATATATATATATATAGAATGTTTTTCCTAGTGAAAAAATTCTCTTTTTCTCTTTAATAAAAGGTTCAAATACTTTTCTTCCTCGTTTTAAATGTAACTAACATGGCACACTTTCAACCTAAGTATTTTTTTATTTTCATAAAACAGTAATAGTTTCTAAAGAAAAGTGCAATACTACAATTGTTTAAAAAATAAATAATTTTTTATTTGTTTTCCCAAACTTACATGTTAAAATGTAAAATTTAAATATAAATTAGGTTCTAATTAGGCCGCTTGGCATAGAATAAACAATGGATATTTGAGATTTTAATAATTGTTTCGTTTTTAAACCTAGGAAACAGTCTATTTTGACAGTAGTCATAACCTAAATTTAAAATTAATGTTTTTTTAATCTATTTTCAATCAAAAACTAATTTACTAGAGTTAAATTTCTTGATTTAAAAAAATCATGTATTAAAGATTTTTCTTTTCTTTTTACTTCAGCAACTCACTTGATTCACTGGTAGTCCATTAATTGTGAAAAATATTAATTTCAAAGTGAAACAATGTTTTGTCTATTTAAAGTCATAATAAATATAGAAAGTCTAGCTTTTATTCTTAAATTGTTCATCTCAATTTTATTAAATAAGTTCCAGACGGGTTTGTTGAAAAATCTCCAAGTATGAAATTATTCTTTGCTTAGTTTTTTCTCCAAAAATATTATTTTATTGATTTTTTAGATTTTACTTTTAATTTAAAACTAATACCACAATTTTTTTAATGAGGAAATGCAAATTGATTCTTTCTTTTGCAATCGATATTGTATTTATTATTATTATATACCACTTCTAATAAATATATTTAATGAAAAAATTTCTCGAATGCACTAAAGAACTGTATTTTCATAGATAAAATTCTGAATTGTTTATTTATCTTCATTTAATTTTTTAAATTTAATTATTAATTTTTATACAATATACAAAATAAAGGAGGGTGAAACTGAATAGGATCTAAATATTTGGTGTTTAGCTCGCCAACAGTAAATAACGACTGTTGAAAAATACTTAACAATTAAATTAAACATGACAAATTTTCCATTTTTGCTCTCGTATCACTGATAGTGCGGAATTGAGCGTTGCATAGGTATGGTGGAAAACGTAAGTTTTCTCTATGCATTCATATTTCCATAACATTACCCGAGAAATTATGGCGTATGTTGAAAACTAAAGTTCGATATCACATATTTTAGTGCTAAATTTACAAAAGCCAAATAACAGTGAATAAAAAATCACTTATAAAAACAACCAAAAATTGTCGAAGTGTGTTCAAATACAAATGAGAATTTAAAGGTTTAAAAATTAATTCTCGTTTGCATTCGACAAAACACAATTCGGGATGTAAAAGTTATTTTAAATATTTACAATAAAGTCTTTTAAAAACAGCTCACCTAGCATTTGTACAGCCTATTACGTTTTTAAAAATGGATTTTTTTTAACAATAGAAGTATTTTTTTTTAACAATAACAAATTTGAAACAAATCCAGTTTTCCTAATTTTAAAGTTAACATTACAAAGATGAAAACTACAGACTTTTCTTTTCTTATATACATAAGCACTTTTGGAAAAAAAAAAATAAAAAAACACACCGACATTTTAATTTTATAAAATTTCATGTCTATTTAAAGGCAAACGTTGTCGATTAAAAAAAGATGATTCTCAACTGTTTAAAAACCGTGACGCCGGCTCCTTTCCAGCTAATTTTCGCCTCATCCAATGCTATGTGCTTGAAAAAGGCATTTTGGATGTAGAAGAAGCATCATTGCTAGACCTCCTTTTCCTCAACTGTTTCCAGAATCGTCTTTCTAGAGTTTTATCCTGGGAAATGAAATTAAAAAATTAACATTATATTAAACTTTATAAAGTTTATTTTTGTTTTGGAAAAATACTTACATATTCTCTTTTTTGAACAAAGTCAGGCGGCATTGATGTAGGGATATCATCTTGTGATTCTCTACTGAAGAGTCTTGTCAGTCTGCTGCCTGAGCTGCTTGTGTGCTCTTCACTTTTGCTACCTCTCAAGAACTCCATGCTAAAAAAAATAAAATATAATGTAAAGACAAATACGTTTGTTTTCATTTTTTTATTTTTTATTTACAATTTTTTAGGCCTGGGTGATTTAGAGTCTGCAGACTGGCTTCGCCTTAACCTCAGCTTATTGAAGATCCTGTGTGGTGTGCTTGTAGCAGATTTGGCCTTAACTGCACAGCTGTCAGACTTATTACCCTTCCAGCATATCAATCACTTTTATTACACAAATAAAATAAAAAAATGGGGTTAATATAGATTTCTACTTTTTTCAATTTTTGTTTGTTTTTTAAAATAAAAAAGAAATGAATATGAATAAATGAGAAAAAACTCAAATAAGCGTGCCCAATATATTATAATAATTGTAAAAAAAATTAAAGAGAAAATTGAAAAAAATAGAGGAAAAATATTTGCTTTGCATTTCTAAACTGCATTTTGGAAAACATACTTGATCAGTTGTGTAGCTTTTTGTTGCTTCGCTGTTGTCTATCGATGTCGAGTCACTGGTATCTTCTTCGTCTTCGGGAAGAGGATCAAGTCGTCTTCGTTGAGGAAAACCCCTTGTCACAGGGCATAAAGGCACTAAGCTTCCCATTATGCTCATCCCGCTCAACAGCCTGTCTAGCATCAACTGTTCCCTTGCATCATCCAAAGCTGATCCCACCGTTTCTGCAAACTAGAATAAAAACGTTATTACAAAATACAGCAAAAAAAATAGTGTTTTAACATTACCTCGGTGTTCGGTGAAGTAAGGCCAGAATCTCCGCTGGTAGGCGTTCCCCACACTTCTTCGCCTGAAGTAGCACCGGAAGTCTCACATTCTTCTTCACCAGCCAAACTTGTCGATGTAGCTAAAAGTTCCTCATTGTGTTTTGGATCACCACGTAAATATCTAAAAAAAATCAATTAGTTACTTTATAACATTAATAATTTATTAAATTAGCAATACCTATCGATAAAGGAAACTCCTTTTGAGTCGTCAGTCACTCTTTCAAAAAATGCCATTTTTTCAACAACAAATGTACCTGCTCGGACAGTCCATCCTCTGATTGATTGCCCAACTGATTCAAAATGCTGGTTGTTTGTACCATCTGAAATTGACAGATATTATTTAGTTTAATATGAACTAAAAAAAAAAAATAAATAAATAAATAAAAAATACAATTTTACATCAGTCAGAAAGGAATAATGGGTCAAATGCAATAAGAATAAAGATCAAGCAGATAACAGGCTTGCAAAAATACTAAATTATACTTTTGTCATTAATATAAAATAGGTGAAAAATATCGAAAGAAAGGCAAAAATAAGTCAAATGCGAGCTAAGGCTGATCACTTGTACGTTTTATATGGATTTTATTTTATTTTCTTAAAAATAAACATTTTAAAGAATCTGTTTGTTAGTTTCTACTTCAACGAAAACAAACATAATATTTCATTGGTATTGATTTGTCACTGCTGAGTGGTTCTTACATTATGGAAACAGCCCCAGATTCAGCATATCTCAAACAACATCCTCTGCCATCTTAACTCCTGTGCGAGTCGACTCACATTGGCTGTTTGCATTATACTTTTGAAAAACTAACAAACTATATGAAATGAATAAAAAAGTGATGAAAATGATAAAATTCAAAAATGGTATCCAAGCATTTTGTGGTCTCCTTTTGGAAGCGTATGCTTTTCTTTACACAACAATCACAAATTTTAAAATAAATTCAATGCATAAATGTATTTTGATAAAAATGTTAAGAAACAGTCACAACAAATTTCTACAAAAATATATGAAGTATTAAAAATAACCATGCTCTTTTAAAAAATGGCTTACTAGAGATGTTATAAAAAAATTCATATAGCCCAAAAGATTTTTGTTTAAAGATAATTATTGCTTTAAATCTGCTCTTTATACAATATAAAAATAGTTTCATTTAATCCATTTTAATAGTAAATATATTGCGATAAAATAAAAAGTGCTTTGCAATATTTTATTGTTTCTGATAACAATTGACATATTCGAAGCTTTGACCTTGGGGAAGTTCATCATGATCTCCGCGGCTTGTGTCCTCATCAGAATCATCATCGAGCTTCTCAAGGCTGCTCACGGTCCCATATCTTTTGAGTCCACAAGGTGATAAAGATTGATATGGAGGTTCTTCGATCTCGCCATCGCTTTCACCTTCATTATCCTCACCCTAAAAACATTAAAATTTTATACTACATATTTTTCTTAAATATATACATATAAAACAAAGACAATAAAACAAATAAACCCTTACAAATAAATTTGGACTGCTGTGGTTACTATTGTCCTCCTTCTTGACTGTACTATCTGAATCTTCCCAGAAGTTGTTGTTGCCACTGTGCGAGGTGTGGATGGCGACACCACCTGCTGTTGGTGTAGGCGGTTGGACGGAAATATGCGGCACTGGGAGGAATGGGTCAGTTGGGCTCAGATTCGCATCGCAACTGATACCCCAGTTGTTCTCATCGGTGAACGCCTCCCTCGCCGCATTTGCATTAATATCTACTACAGCGCTGCTGTTATTTTTATTATTTGGAAGACAAGTCTTGTGGCATTTTCGGCAAACAGCCATCAGCTTCTCTGAGTTGCCAGATGTAGATTTCACCGTATTCTAAACAGCAAAAACAAAACAAAAATTTTTATATAAAAGAGTATAGATAAGTTTAATAAAATTTAGATTGAAAACTGCTACCTGGCTGTCAGAAGTACTCTGTTCATGATCAGATATTTCAATTTCTTCGCATCGGCTTATGCTCCTCTGAATAGGCAGAATCCCTCCCTCCAATCCTTTCATGGTCGCAGCTCTTCTTCTCAATGCGCTCGGTGACCAAATTTCCGGCTCGGATTCGGTTTCAGGCGAACCGTCCCCTAATTGTCCTTTCATCCATTGTGCCAAATGCATAGCACTTTCTTTACTAACTCCTGTCTTTCCTAACTGTCGGCATCGATGGTCTATCAGGTCGACAACACCGGGTTTTTCAGTCAGCTCTGGAACCTGTAAAATATAGTTTCAGTCAATAGTGGCACAAACTAATTATTTTTTAAATTAAAGAAATAAAAGTGATTTCTTAAGAAAACCCTAACATCAAATTATATTATTTGTTAAATTTTTAACATCTATGTTTTGCCTATTCTAGAATATTTATTTAAATATAATTCTACTAATTAATCTAAAACTGCATTTTTTTGCTTATTAAAAAAAATTAGTTCTACAATTCTTAATAATTAAAAATATCCTATTTCTACCAAGTTTTTTATAGGTTTTATTTGTACTGATATTCACAAATAACTAAATCTCTTTATATAAGTCCAATTTATATATTTAAAATAAACCAATCTATTGAAATTAACTAATTAAACTTGTGTTTTAAACTTATGTTTTCTAAAACATGAGTTGCTAAATATTAAAAAAAAAGTCAGTAGTATAATAATCTTGAATAAGAATCAACATGCAGCAATTTGACAGAAAATGATGCCACATAAGTGTTTTTTTTTGTTTCACATGCAACATAAATACGCAGGCGTATTTACATCAGTCCAACACAGCCCGCGTCGGTGGATTCAGCTCCATATTCCATCTTTTATTCCGCTGGCCTGGAATGCTGATTATCTCTCAAAAGAAAAACAGTCCTTTTTTTCCATTGTTATTTTATTTTGCGATAATTCAAAGTTTTTTTTTACAAATTCTCGTTTTGTTTTGTATGGACAGATTAAAAAAAAACACTTTTAACCTTGTATCTCTTTTTAAAAAAGTTAATTACAGTAATAATGTAAGAGTATTCATTATTAAGAGTATTCATTAAATTGTCTACATACAATTCTAAACAATTTTAAAAATATAATCTATGACTATATTATAAAAATTTTTTAAAAGTTTGGATGATAGTGAAATAATTCCAATGGCGTCAATAACATGTTGAAAAGATGCTGTTTTGATAAAGTCTAAAACATCAACTTCAATATTTATCTAATTAAAAAATGATGCATAACTTTCTTTGAAATATAGTATTAATTTAATGTCAATTAATTAAAATTAATTAAAAATCTATAAAAAAAAAACAAAAATCAAATACAGAATAAATAATAAATTTCAAAAGAATGCGCTTCAATGAATTTTTTTTTATAATTTATAAATGTGCAAGCTTAGCGAGAGTCCTTTTAAATCTAGTCTTGGTTTATATGAAAATGAATTAGTTCAAAATAATTGTAAAGTATATAAATGTTTAATGAATAACGAGTATGACAATTGGTTTTAAAATATAAGCCAATGAATATCTACAAGTACATCTACAAAGTTATTCACTTAGGAGTATAATATTTTAATAATTAATCCTAAGACAACAGTGTTTTTCACACAGATATGTTTGCTTTAAGTATACAGTAATATTTTCCTTTTAATTTAAGGAAAAAAGATTTTTTGGTTTATAAAAATACAAAGCTTGCATCTTCTATTACTAAAATAAGCATTTTGTTCATAATGAACTATTAGAACATTAATGGACAGACACTTCAAGCAGTATTTTATATGCTTCTTATAGAACTAAAGGGTTTATAGCAAAAATGTCATAAAATACACTTTTTTCAGTTTCTTTTAGAAAAAACACTTTTTTCCTCTTTTTTTTTTGTTGTTAATATTGATTGGCACAAATTTTCTCATATCATTCGAAAATGAAGTTTAGAACCTCGTGGGGCTACAACATCTGTTAAGATGTGGGGCTAAACATCAGGAGGGCGCGGGATTAGGTGGTAGATTTCCAAGTACCTGTCGCTTCATTGAGACAGACTCGAGCGAATCGGCAGTTAGAGGGTCGGGCGAATCCATCGGGCTGCTAGCCGGAGTTCCTCCCCTAGCCGTGTTCACGTATATTCTACAAAGGCGAAAATATGAAAATAATACACTCATGGATGAATTAACGTGTAAACTTACATCTGCCTTTGGATCAGATTCTGCCAGACGGCTTTCAGTTCTGTCGTGGGTGCTCTGAGAGCAACAGTTCTCCTCCTTGGCCCTTTCCTCGGTGTCCTGGTCAGAGGAAGATCAGCGCACCCTCCCACAGCCGGGCTTTCTTCTCCAGGAGGGCTTGTACTTATTAAAAGTCTGAATTCCGTTGCTATAAAAAAGCAATAGTAAATAATAAATTGAATTTTTTAAATTATCAAAAAAATATTAATCAAAATATACATTTGAACATAAATACAATAAATAAATGAACAAATGTATAACATTAAAAAAAATTATTCTATTTTAAAGCAGTTTTGTAAGTATTTTAAGAAATTTCAACATTACCATTGAGAAAAATTCCCTTTGTTAAATAAGACAAGAAATAAAATTTAGTTAGTCTCGCACATGAAGAGCATTGTCAATATGTCACCTGGGAGAACCTGAGTAAGGGTCATTCTCACCCAATTAAGGTGGACATGCTAGGATGCACACAAACCCTTTTGAGCCAAAGCTTGTGTATGTTTCTGGCTTATAGGGAAAGCTTGCTCGATGTGTCCCACCTAGTTGAAGGGTGCAATTCCTTGGCTCTATATAGAGAGTGTGTAGGAAAGCCACCCAATTTAAGGCGCAATCAGAGATAACCCTCACCTTCCGATGAAGATGATCGGATGAGAAGTTTTTTAGTTTTGCGCTGGCCAGCAGACAGTTGACAACAAACCTATTGAAAATATCATAACGAGGCTTTTTTTTTCTTTTACTATCAACACCGCCCGACATTGGAGTCTGGACTGCATGAGCGAGGCATCTTCCTTTACCTCCAACACCACCCAATATTAGAGCTCGCACGTCTTCCAGGAGAGTGGAAATTTCACTTATTTGTGTTTCGGTGGAGGACAGTGATTCGAAGGAAAAACATTATTATTTTTGTCTTTTTTTATGTTTAAAAATACCTTTTGCAAACAATATTTTATGTTAATTTTTGAAGCTTGCAAGTGTTGCCTTTTTCTTTCCTTTTTTTAAAACTTTTCTTTGTTATGGAACTGTTCTAGTCTTTAAAGGTACTGGCAATATAACTACCAATGGTGACAATAGAGTACTTATTGTTGAAGACAAGGACAAACGTTTTGCTCTTAGTCTGAAGGAACCAGTAGTCACATGTGAGACACATGGTTATATGACTGAGCATGAGGAATTACTGGTGCTAATGAGTGATAACCCTTTTTTGAAATTACATTCTAAATTAGAAAACGCGGATATAGACACATTCCTTAACACCAATTTGAAATTTATATACGTAGAAAGATATGTCGCTAACAGAACCACTGACTTATATACGTTGTTTACCAAAAGATACTGTGAGTTGTCTAGAAATTCATTAATGCTATCTCTGACCCTTGCTCGCACAAATCCAGAAGAATTCGCATGTACTTACATTAAATCGCAAGGGTACACAGCAATAGTTAGAGGTGAAGTAGTGCATATCCTTCAGTGCAAAGCGGTTATGTGTAATATACGTCACACAGAAGGTTGTTATAATGAACTTCCTGTTAATTGTACAAATGAGAGCAAGTTCCTAAAACCATTATCAGTATTATCGTCAATATTGGGACTCCATTACCTTGTTCTATACACACTCCCACTATGTTCAACATAGACAATGTATGGGTTAAGATAGGAGAGGATCCGTTCCCTCCATGACAACCTGTACAGCTTACTTCAGGAGATCTGGATACTCGGGCCTACGGCAATAGCCAGTCTTCTAAACCACTTGGTTATCTCACTAAATCACAATTATTAGCATATAAAGAAGCGGTGTCTATTCCTACGGAACAACAGGCTATCCAATACAATTTGGCATATAAGATGTCTGGAACCACGTATCATAGCGGTCAAATTCTAGACTTCACGAGAAGTTTCAACACAACGACCTTGTTGACACAGGTGGAAACATCCATCATAGATACGTTATATGGCTGGTTTTCTTCTGTTGTAAGATACATAGGTGGTTTCGCTATGACATTATTTATCATCGATAGTATAACATTCATAATCAGGGTTATAACAAATGGGTTTTTCCTGTACTCCAAATTTGGATTATCCAGGTACCTCGGGCTAGCCCTTCGGGGATCGCTAGTCAAACATATTTTATATGGAAATAGCAATACTGGCATCGCCTGGAGATACTGGAGGCGCAGAGCAAAACCAATCACAGTTGTAGATATAGAGGCTAGTGCAGGTATTGATACAAAACTCATTGAAGATGGACCTACTAGATCTAACCTCATTAATTACCCTAACTTAACCCCTAACGACTGCATGTGACACTCTTTACATATTACGGGTGTAGGATTGTTATGCACATACCTATCATTGATATCATTCTATTATAAAATTAAAGGCCCAAATATTAATATTGACCAGTATATAATATTATACTACATTTAAACAGCTGTATAGAATGAAAGAACAAGCTAATTGATCAGTAGATTAGGTTTACATGGTTTAGATTTAGGTTAGATTAGGTTTACAAAATTGTTTGCAAAAGGTATTTTTAAACAAAAATAATAATGTTTTTACTTCGGATTACTGTCCTCCACCGAAACACCTTTATGTGCTTATTCATTATGAAATCCTTAAAAACAGTTCTGATACACCATTTTCCTGCTAGCAGTTTTTGATCAAGTCAAGGTTTGAAGTTTAGTGTAGAACTATTTATGAATTGCATGTTCTTATACAGCCATTTATGATTTGAACACTTCTTTCCTCCACTCTTTCTAAACATAATGATTTTATTCTTTTCTAAATTGACACAAAGGTTCCACTTTTCAGCGTATTCAGTGGTATGTAAATAGAAACAAAAGTATTTAAGAGTGGGTTTGGATTTGGGGGCTGATTGCGTTGGGGTATTGAAATGACCTAGCTGTTGATAGCCTTTGGAGCTACCTCGGTGGCTTGAGGGATAAGACGGAGGTTTGTTCCTGGACTGCCAATACCCAAGGCGGGTGATTCTCCTGCTGATAATTTATTGTAAATTACACAAAAGCTGGAATTTTCAGAGAGCTGTGTGAAGTGATCGGCTTCAAACTGAGTATGAACATGGATGTGAAAATTTGAGCTTATATAATTTAGGAATCAGATTGTTGAAAAAAAAAAAAAAAAAAAAAAAAAAAAAAAAAAAAAAAAAAATTGGACTGTAATAGCACTCAGTTGTACAAATTTGCTAAACAATCTAAAGGTGAATCTAAGGAATGATATGGTGACTAGGGCTAATGATAATGTTTACCATAGATTAGACCAAGGTAATCAATATATAAATAAAAGTATCAATCCATTAGATTTGGTGGTCCGATTGACCATATAACTTATTTCAATTAATTAAATTTTTTCTCAACCAATACCTTACATAAATATTAATTAATTGAAAAAATATTAATATTGATGGCAAGTCATTAATGATTAGAGTGAGGGGAAAACTCATTCGATTGAGCTGCTAGTTTTGGAGGAGTGATTTGAACTTTACTTGCTCAATGTGCAATGTCAATGTTCCAGAGGACACTGTGCACTTTCTGGATAAATTTCCAGTGCTTAGGAGTCCAGAGTTCAGGAAAATACATTCAGGGAAAGAGCAATTAGATACAACCGAGGTAGTAAATATTTTTAATGGCGGAATTGATTGGGTTCATACAATAAAATTTCTAATTTCTTGCATAAACTTTGAAATACAAAAAATATATGATTGCAGATTTCGATGATTAAAAAGTAGTAAGTTTAAAAGAAAAAAAAAAAAAGAAAAAAAAAATATATATATACATATGTGTGTGTGTGTGTGTGTGTAAAATTAATGAATTAATTAATTTACCAGCAACTTGACAGACGGCCATGGCCATTGCCATTCATGCTTTGTAACTCTAATCTCATGTAAAAATTTTTATTCATTTTCCGAATTTTTTCATTTATTGTGCAAAATACTGGCGATCATTAGATGTTTATTGGCTCATAAATAATACATTCATACTGCTACTACTAATTTAAAAATTAATTTGTTATTATCAGGAGGGCACAAGATTAGGTGGTAGATTTGTAATTAAGTGCTTAAGATGAGACAAATTTGAGCAAATCGGCAGTCAAGCTGCTAACTTTATAATTTTAAAGAGCATTGTGATGGCACGATATATTTTATAATATTTAGAATACACTATCTCTGTACTGTTTGTTCTTTGACTATCTTTAACTAGTATAATCTTTATAAACAATATTTTTCTTGTTTGGTCATCCTGATCATCTGGATCTGCCGTTTATTGCTTGATTTGTTGATCAGACTTGTTGTACCACATTTTGACATTGCTAGTGAGAATTTAGTAGATCAAGATAATCAAATGAGTTCCTCACCTCACATATAACAATTTATCTGCAGATTATGTTACATACCTTTTTTTCTTATCGAGAACAATGCTTGGCTGACCATGTTGAGCGGTAGGGGCTCCTCAGTCACAAATATTACCCTGTCCCTGCTTACTTTGGCAAAGAGGAGAAGATCTGTGAAAAGCAGAGCCCAGAACGGGCGTACAGCCCTGCCCTCGACGCGGCTCAGGTCACCACCAAAAATCCACTGTCGGCCTGGAGCACTCAATACAAATGGCTAGAAGAAACCCAAATGGATTATTATCCAAATTCTTTTTTTTTATTATTCACTTACTTATTCTTAAGTTTTAAAACTTACTTTACATCTAGTGAACACAAGTCTGCTCTCCAGGTCTTGAAGTGAAAGCAATGGCCGGCCTTCACCATCCGGTTCCATTAGTCCAGATTCGACTGTTATCTCTCTATAAGTTGCCTGAAGTAAAAAATAAAAAAATAATAAAAAATAAGTAAAATAAAATAAATTTTATTTACATTCGTAATTATTAAATACTGTCGATGAAAAAGATTAAAAAACATAAAACTACCTGCATGTCATGAACAACTTTCGAAAGCGCTACATAATCCTCATCCTTGACCTTAGTGTTTGCTAAAGTTGTCTGCAAAAGTTTCAGCATCTCCCGGTAATGCTGAAATCCGAGATGGAGCAAAACAAAAAATATTAACTTTTGTTATTTTTTTTTAATTTATAGTTTCATTTACCTCTAGAGGTTTGTGGATGAAAGTTGTCAGATCAGGCCTTCTGCGTGGTATTGGTGGCTCAGTTACCATTTTCATAAACGTCGAATTCCTAGTCTTTTCTACGAGGAGGCAGTCAGCCTTTTTCAACCCCACGCAGTACCTCCTATATGCACTGTTTATTGCATTGAGCTTTAAAACAAAAACCATAAAATTGCTTAAAATGATAAAATTGTTGTTAAAATGAAAATTATTACTTAATCCATGCAAATTTAACAATTTCACAAATATAATTAAACCATGGAAGATTTTTTAATGCCTAGCTTACCTTTTTTTGATAAATTCTTCCTAATGATTGTCCTAAAGTCTCATCCTGAACATACAACTCGAGTATATCCTCTGTATGCCTCAGGAGCTGAATATAAAATACTCTTTAAAATTATTGCACATTTACGATGTTTTTGTTTGTCATTACCTCTTGAGTGTTCTGGAACAGGATCGTGTGCTCATTCTGCGTGATGACGTCCTTTCTCTCTGACAGTGGAAGCATGAATCTGGCGATTCCAAACTGCAAGCTCAGTGCATACTGCTGCTCCTTTCCAAGCAGTTGGTACACGCTCCTTTTCCTGCATTCCTCGTCGCTCAGTGGGTTGCTCTGGGGATAAAATTCAGTTTTGTTTTGCACAAAAACATAGTTTAAATATGGTTTCAATCAAACATTTTATCTGTAGTTTATAATGGATCCTGGAACATTTTCTAGAATAGACGAAGACTTTTTATATTATGGTGATGAATAGAACAAATTCTCCTTTAATATTCCAGTTAAAAAACATATTTTCAAAACTCAATTGAATGAAATAGATGAAATGAACTTCTATAATTTTAAAATAAAAAGTTTTGGACCAATATGCCCCACTTTGTTCTTCATTTTCTGACCTGATTTGTTTTATTGATTTGACATACTTCTGAACAGAGGTAAAGTCTACTTCTATAATCTACATCTTCAACTATGCTCTATGAGAACTATGGGTGCTTATATCAAGAAAATAAAATCTCACGGAAGATGATCTCACGGGCAACCAAAAGAACGACTTTCGTTGTTCTCCCCTGTCGTCCATATTTCTAAAATGAAGATCTGGAAAAAAGACCGTTTGACCGTTTTAACAAGCCGTTTACCCTGGATATCGTTCCAATGGTGGTAAAGCGGATGCCGAGAAATGCCGGAGGTGTATGGATTCTTTCATATTTGTGCAGTGAATGGCCTCATAGCCTGTTAAGAGTTGCCATTGGAAACCAACTTAATTGCTTTCAATAGAAAAGATACTGCTGGACTGATAGTTCAAATGCTGATTTCTTCTGAATATCCAGACAAAATTATTACAACAATTCTATTTTACAATATATCATTATTATTAATTAGACTTAAACTTCTTTTAAATAAATCATTTATTATTAAAATTTTTGAAAATTAACATTACTGTCAAATAAAATAAGAAATATAACTAAATTTAAAAAAAAAATTGCATTTATTAATGGGTAAAAACTTTCTAAATGATCAGAAAGTATTCAACTTCTGTTAAAAAAACTTGTGCTTAGAATTGCTTGATCAGATAATCAATGAACAATCAACCGATTAAACATATTGATTGACCTTCTGTTTAACTAAATAATATAATAAGTATTAAACACATTTAGTTGTATTTCTTAAGCAAGATTACATTTGTTAGCAAAAAATAACAAAAAAAACTGGAGTATATTAGATGTAAAAGTTAAGGTCAATCTCTTACAGAGTTCCTATTAAAAGGTTTGTTTTATTAATGGAAAAGGCTAGATAAAATATAATAAATTTTTTCTGTGTCAAGATCATTATGGACAAATTAACAATTTAAATGACTTTTGGAGCCCTAAATGATGTAATGTAAAACTACAAATTTTACAATTTAGTACAAACTAATTTATATAATAAAAAGGGTTTTATTCAAAGCTGAATTTGGTAGTTACAAACTATAATAAAATACTAGTTAAGTATAACTACTCTTAGAAATTCTCTCCTCTCTCTCACCACAATTCCATTTTTCTAGGCTTTTCTTCTTTTCGTGTTACTTTTTTATACCTAAATTTATTTGCCTTGTGCCAGATAGTTTCTCTCTCTTTCTTTCTCTCTCTCTCCCTCTCCCCCTCTCTCTCTTTCTTTTTTCTGCCACTCTTTTCTCTGTCGCCTCTCTCTCTCTCTCTTTTTTTTTTTTTTTTTTTTGTTGCATGAAACACTGTTTGTTTCTCTCTCTATTTCTCCTCTTTGTGGGAAACGCTGTCTATTACATTTCTTTACATAACAATCTGTTTCTTTCTTTCTGCATTTCTTCTCTTTTCTTACAAATATGTCTGTTTCTCTTTACATTTCTTTTTTTTTTAAACACCATTTTTTTTTTATGCAACTGTATGTTTCTTGTTCGTTTTTTGGCATAAAACTAAATCCGTTTCTCTCTCTCAATTTCTTGTCTTTGCATTATTGGAGCAATTTAAGAACTTTTATTGTTATTTTATGAGTGTTGATTATGTTGAGTTTTAAAGACTTATGACTTTTTCCTGATTTAAAGCAAGTGTTAAAGGACAAAAAAGAAATGATAGTTGTAAAAGGTATAAAATAAAATAAAAAGTTAATAACAACATAAAATTTCATTGTTAAAGAAAATTACATGACATTAAAATACAAAAAAGGTCTTTTGACAAAAAAAAAAAATCAACAAAAAACGTGACTTAAAAAATAAAAATAAATAATTAAATTAAATAAAGAATCACAGCATTTAGGGAAATTCTTTACAATGACAAATAAGCTCAAGTGAAAAGGGGTCTGCAACTATATTGAAAATATTATTAATTTGTTAACTATTCGCTAAAACTAGTTAAAGTGAAAAATTTGTATTTCCTGAGAGTTAATGGCAAATAACTTATCAATAATTAAAACTAGTTGTTCATAAATAAATAATAATTAAAGAAATAGTAAACATCTAAAAGCTAAAAATATACGCTATAACATATTTTACTGGCCATGTTAATAATATAAACTAATTTAAAGTTAGGAACATAAAATTACAACTAAATGTTTTAATGAAAGCCAGATAAAAACTGGACTATACAAAATGTCAAGAAAAAAAAAACATAACATAAAATAAACTAAATTCACATAATTTTATTAATAAATAAAAGTTAATATTTTCAAACAAAAAACAAAATCTCAGCTAAACAAGAAAAACACCGAATGTTTCTAAACGTAGACTAGAGCTGTGAAACAGGTGGATTTCGCTAACATCAGACTAATACTCCAGAACCAACCTCACTGTTGAAAGTGACTTGTGGCAGGTGGAGCCTCCGTTTTGTGATTTCAATGGATGCAGTTGCAGTCGCAGTTGTAGCTGCAGAGCATGCTGTCGAGGATCTTGCTTGCGTTCCAGTAGGAGGCACTGGTCTGGAACCACCGACAGGCTTCCTGTACACTTCTAGCACTAGCTTGTTACCAGATGACCTACATGAGAAAGCAAATGAATAAATAAAATGAATGACAAATTGTTGAACAAAACACTGTTAAAAAGCAAACTGACTTTATGATCTGGAGAATCTCTTCTTCTTGCAGAGTGACTACATTAGTTTTCCCGACGAAAATAACATAGTCTCCGGGTCTAAGGCCTGCCTGGTCTGCTGGCAATCCAGACTCCACCCTCTCTACCCTGTTCAAAAGAATTATTAAATTCAAATATTTACATAAAAAATAAACATCATTATTCTAAGCAACATAGACTTTATACCTCAATGCTAAATATGTGAAGTATAAAAGGTTTCAAGATTTACCTCGGAGGGTGAGTCCATGCTATCGAGAAACCATAACTGGATCCAGGCTGTCTATTGAGGGTTCTTGTTGTTGTGAATGGTGTTCGACCTCCTTTTGGGCTTCCTGTCACAGAGTCCTCCAGAGGGTCCAGCTCCAAATGCCTGAGAAATATCTGGTCTTCATGCACTGTGGGAAAACAATTCGAATGTTAAAAATCTTGATTAACGAATTTATGTTGATGTATTCTTACCTCTTTCCATTTCTTTTTTTGTAGACTTTCTTCTCCTTTCTTTAACTGATTGAAAATAAAATTTCCAGATTATAACAAGTGAAAAATTGATTTAAAATAAAACATAAAAGTGAAACTCACAAGTATCTATTGGTGCTCCAACAATAGATCCATCCACGCTAATTAATTCTTCCACGCTAGATTCAGACTGATTAGCCATTACTTCTATAAAAAAAAAAATTAAAACACATTAAGCAAGAATCAAATAAAAGATAAAACCTTATAAAAATATCTTAATATCAAAATTCCCAGTATATTCAAAATCAATCCAAACTTTTAAAATAGCATTAATAACAAAATCTACATATTACCTAATATTTTATCTAAAACATTTTGGTATAAAGCAACAAAGTAATTTTTTTACACTTAAGTTCGTAATGTGGTTTATAAGCTAATTGTTAAAATTTTTACTTTAACTTACTTCTGTTTGTGAAATTTTTCCATGATTACCGCATGGTTATAAACCTGGACCAACTGAAGATGGCAAAATGCCGTCAATCGTAATCATGGTTTGTTATTCAAGCGGTTGAACAGTAAAAACTGTTATGTTGTATAGGGATGTAAGGATAATAAACAAAATTTAAAAATTTAAGGTGAGTTTAGGTTAAATCGATATTGACCGAATTTATTTTCTAATTTTTATATTAAATTATTCATATTTTGCTTTGTGTTTTACACATGAAAAATCATAATCATGGTTAATTATTCAAGTGGTTGAACAATAAAAACTGTTATGTTGTATAGGGTTGTATGGATAATAAAAGAAATTTAAAAATTTAAGGTGAGTTTAGGTTAAATCGGTATTGACCGAATTTATTTTTTAATTTTTATATTAAATTATTCATATTTTGCTTTGTGTTTTACATATGAAAAATCATAATCATGGTTAATTATTCAAGTGGTTGAACAATAAAAACTGTTATGTTGTATAGGGATGTAAGGATAATAAAATAAATTAAAAAATTTAAGGTGAGTTCAGGTTAAATCTGTTTAATTCAAATTACAACAAAAACCTACCTGTTTGGTTGTTCCAAAGGTTTTCAGAATTTGTCATCGCTGGAACATTTTTGACTCGTCCAGAGCTTTGGGACAGGAGGCGATATGAACCATTTATTTCCTGAAAATAAAACCATACAAATTAACTTCACATTGTAAACCTTTGAAAGTTTGTTACGATGACTTGCTCAACTGATGGCCGTCGAGAAACCTTTGAAATGTCTAAAAAGCTCTTAAATCACTATATCTAATTTAAGCAATTTACGGAGGGATACAAAATGAATTTACCTTTTTAACAACATGCTTCACTGCAAATGACATGCACCCAAGGAATTCGCTTTTCCTGGAAAAAAAGAAAAATTAAGTCTTAATTATTAATTGAACTATAATAATTTGCTCTTGTTGATAATAATTATACTGATTAGTTATGTCATACTCATTGCTATATTTGTTTGATTTTATTGAAATACCATAAATAAAAAATTTATGATAAACAATTATCTGTAGGGAATAAAACTTCACGGAAAGGCAAAACCATTCTAATGAATATCCAACGCTCATGACTTCAAATTGTTGGACATGACTAAAATATCCAAGTATGTACAAAACTTAATAAACCTAAGTGGTGAAAGATAGTGAGAAAATTAAGATGTTCTTTATTTAAATAGATCAGCGGTCAGCATGATAGACTCTTGGCACGTGGGTTGGATTTGGCGATCACCTCAGCTCTTTTTTCCAAAGTTCCCTCCAACAACATATGTATTATGAAACAAGTACCTACTTTGGCTAATATGCAAGTTTAAAGTAAAATAAATATACAGATATAGAATGACCAACAGCCAGCAGACATCAGCGCATCAGATGCCATCTTAAAGATGGTACTAAACTGTTAAACCAAGGAGCTGCTTCGCCGCTAACACAACTTGAATCTGCAGGATAGAGACACTATCAAAAAATACATTTTTAGAGCAGAAGACAAGGTATTAAGCACACTTTCTTGTTAATTCTAACACCCATAGCAAAACTGAGACTTTCTACAGAAGCGACTTTACATCTTGTTTCCATTTTAATAAACTATGTCTACTTTTTTCTATTTTCTTAGGTAAGGAAAATAGCAATGTATTGACCCTCGGTGAATTTGGTTTATTTAAAGAAAACAAGGCATTTGGAGTGCCCTGGCAAATTAAAACTTCAAGCATCAATACTGCTTTGGAAAACGAATGAGATGTTCATAAATTATGGTTTGTTAAAACATAAATGTAATATTTTCTTTCTGAGGCGTTGAGTAGGTTAAACACTCAAGACCGCTGTGTGTTGAGTAATGTTTTGTTTCCATTGAAATTGTGTAATGGCTAAATTAAGTTCAATAGCAGGAGAAAAAGAACTTTTGATGTTACAATTCTTTTATTTCTGTCTAGTTGTTAGGAAGCGTCAGAGGGAGAATATGCATAAACTTTTCACGGAAAGGTTGAATCGGAGTTGAATTGCGTTTCAAACTCTGAATGGGGCCCGAAGTAATTCAGTTTTGTTAATGCCCTTTCTAAAAACTAAGTTGGATTGAATTCCTGGCGAATCGACGTCTCGAACGACTTGCGGACGTGGGAAACTGAAAAGGACGTTATGACAAACGTGGAAAAATAAACGTTTTTTTTGCGTGTTTGGGCGTTGGAGGTGGAAAAAGAGGCTAATAAATTTTCACCATTATCGTGAAGATCTAATGAAGAATAAATCACACTTGGCAGACTTTTCAATATATTTTTCGATTCTAAATCCAATGATTTGTTCACCCATAAATAAAATGCTTATGCAAGACAAGCTGGTTTAATTTCTTCAGTTTATGATAGTTTATGAACTAAGTTGATTTATGTTCTGAAATTCCGATGATCTTTAATGATAAAGGATCGAGTCCTAAATCATTGTTGCTAGACGGAACAGTATAAATAAAAAGCTTAAGTGCACGAAGGTAGCATTAGTCAGACCGGTCATCCATCTTGACCTATTTATGGACAAATCGTCAACAATATTATTTTCTTTCGCTATCGAATAAGGGACGAAAATATCAATTTGGTACGAGACAAAAGCTGAGATTTGCGGGTGGCCGAGGCCGCCGGATAAAATTCAGTTAAAGGCTGACCAGAGCTTTAATCGATCAGTTTACGTTGCTACCTCATCGAATCTATAGGTTTGATTTCAACGGCAATTTAAGCCCTGGTCGTTTATACTTTGTAGCTTGGCAATTTGCTACATGGCTACTATGGACGGGAGAAGTTTTTGGATACGCAACTTATGAGTTTATTATGTTTTTAAAAATCATCCATTAACTTAATAACCATCAATCATAAACCTTCTTAACTTTGTAGTCATCAGACAATTACTATACAATTATTCTTTCATCGCTTTTACTTTTTAATTATCAAAAAAGTGTAAAGCTTGCAACTGCTTAATTAAGTCAAAAACTAAAAGAATTGCTAGGATTTTTTAAAAAAGAAAAAGTAACTAAATATCATATAATTAATAATAATAAAGCAGAATTCGGAGACCAGAAAACAAAACCAAACGGTTAGGTTACAATTTACTCTTCCTTATGTTATGACTTTTTCGGTTATCAAATAAGTTCAAAGCGTGCAACTGCTTAGTTAAGTAAAAAACTAAAAGAATTGTTAGTATTTTTTTAAAAGAAAAAGTAACTAAATATCATATAATTAATAATAATAAAGCAGAATTCGGAAACCAGAAAATAAAAACAAATGGTTAGGTTACAATTTACTCTTCCTTCCGTTATGACTTTTTCGGTTATCAAATAAGTTCAAAGCTTGCAACTGCTTAGTTAAGTCAAAAACCAAAAAAAGAATTCCTAACATTTCTTAAAGAAAATAGAACATATATGTTAGTTAATTAAATAATAAAAGATAAATCTTTGAAAGATTAAAAGAGAATTATTGGAAAAAAATTTACACTCCTCCATCTGTTTTGACTTTAGTGGTTAATACATAAGTTTGTAGCTTGCAACTACTTAATAAAGTCAAAAATAAAAGAATTCTTAGCAATTCTTTAAGAAAAAGTAACTAAATATCATCTAATTAATAATAATAAAGCTGAAATCGTTGAACGACCGAAAACAAAAACCAATGGTGGAGTAACAATTTACTCTGCTTTGACTTTTTAGTTATCAAAAAAGCTTGCAATAAGTCAAAAACTAAAATAATTCTTAATATTTTTTTCAGAAAATACAACTAAATATCGTCTAATTAAATAGGAAAGCAGAATTATGTGAACGATCGAAAGAAATTGGTTGGTATACATTTTATTCTTCCGTCGGCTTTGAATTTTTAGGTTATCAAAGAAGTTTAAAGCTTACGACTGCTTAATAAGTCAAAAACTAAAATAATTCTTAGAATTCCTTTCAGAAAATATGTATCGTTTAATTAAATAATAAAGCAGAATTATGTGAACGATCGAAAGAAAATGGCTGCGATACAATTCATTATATAATTTACACTCGTTCGTCTATTTTAACTTTAGTAGTTATTACATAAGTTTATAGCTTGCAAGTGCTTAATTAAGTCAAAAATTAAAACAATTTTTAGCACTTATTTAAGAAAAGCAACTAAATATTATTTGATTAATAGTAAAGAAGAATTCGTTGAATGATTAAAAGAAATAGATTGAAATTGCATTTACACTTCCATCTGTTTTGATGTTTTAGGATATCGAACACGTTTACAATTTGGAACTGCTTATTTCGTTCAAAATTAAAATAATTTTAAGATTTTTTCACAAGATAAGATTACAGAATATAGATTAATACGACAAAATTGACTTGAATGTTTTAAAAAAATTACTGGGTATACAATTTAATCTTCTTTCTGCTTTGACTTTTTGTTTATCAAATAAATTTAAAACTTGAAACTGCTTAATTAAGTTAAAAACTGAAAGAATTATAAGCATTTCTTTAAGAAAATACAATTCAACTTGGTTCAATTAAAATAATAAACCCATAGTTTTATTTAGAAGTAACGGACCATATTAATTATTTCAATTAATTGTAACTTTAATCTAAAGTCTTGGTTGAAATGATGGCTTAGCCGAAGGTCGTGGGTTCGAATCCCGCTAGACACACTTGTTTTTTCATCTCAACCAAAACCTTAGATTAAAAGTATAATTAATTAAAATAAAATAATAAAACAGAATTGTTTGAACGATCAAAAGAAATTAGTTGGGATAGAATTTACTTTTTCATCTTCTTTCAGTTTTTAAATTATCAAAGACTAAGGTACAAAACGTAAAACTGAAAGCATTCTCAGCATATTTTCGAAAAACTCATATAACAAGCTCAATTTCATGACGCTTTAGGTCAATAAAGAAATTAAAAGCATGCAGTGGCTTATTAAGTTTAAAACTGAAAGAATTTTTATAATTTCTTAGAGACAGTTGATAAACCAAGTTGACCTCGTATTATATGGAACCACATCATAAATCGTTACTTTAAAAAATATCGTGCTATGTGTGATAATTTGATCGTTCTAATCTGCCATCCTCGCTGTTTGTTAGAACCAAACTGATCAATAATACGGTTTACTTTATTTATTACAAATTATATTTTTTTCTAAAGGAAGGATTTGTTAAAATGCAATTTTGTGGACAAAGAATAGAGCCAAATTTCAAAATTTAAAGGAATGAGATTTATTGGAACATGAGCACCTTTATCTTTGGCCATTTTAAACTTTATTCATTATAATGCTTTCATTAAAAACAGGTGAAATATGAAATTTCATTGTCGTTATTGTTTAGTTTATAAGGATTATTTAAAGATCTTGAGATAGGGCCTGGTGTGATGTAAGTTAGTTTTTAAGCTTCTATCGTGTTCTTTGAAGAGGGTAATTTTGTCTGTCATTAAATCACTGATCATTTTCGTGATTTTGCCTGTAACTGAAGGTTTTTTTTTAACCATGTAATATAGTTCAGGTCGTCATTGTGCTTCAAAGAATCTTTCGGGTTTTGTCACTTGACCACTCCGGGTTTTCTCGAATCAGGTCAGGGGGAAATAAAATATTAAAATGGAAACTATTTCATATCCGAAATATTATAATTGACGTCTCCTAAAGTCAGAAATGGGATTCGGCACACTTCATACATTAAAACGTACCGGCGGATCGTTAGGCACGCGAGCCACCCACGAAACGGATTGCCCGGAAAGGCTCGAAAGAACTGTTCTGATGTATCAATTTACTCAAATTTGTCGTACACTCTTTTTTTACCAAAAAAGAAGAAGAAAGTTCATTGTGATTTAGCATTCATGATTCATTGATTGTAGGACGTGAAAAAGTTTAAGAAACAACTGCACAAATTGAATTGTCAATAACAATAAACGCCAACCTAACAGCAATGTTTCCTTTAATATTATTTGCTTTCAAGATACATCAAGTAAACAAAGACAAAGTTCTTAATACAGACAGAGCATTGGAGTAAGGATGCGAAGACGGGTTCGAGTCTCATAAGTGACACATATTTTCTTCTCTTTTTATATAAAAATTAATAATAAATAATAAAAAATAAAAACAATTAATTAAATATATAAAACTATAAATTATTAGTTAATTAATAACCCGATGGCAAAATTTACAATGTTTGACCGAAATCTGCAGGTAACTTGAGAGAAATACTTGTTTTATTTATATCGAAAAAACTCGAAAAAAGCTAAGAAGCTTTAAATTTTAAACTTAATGAGTACTTACAAGCTTTAAATTTTTCTGGTGTTCTAAAACGTCAAAGGAGATAAAATATTAAATTGTAAACTAAGGAATTTCTCAAAATAATTCAAATTAATAATGCTTTGTTTTAAATTAATCTAGAAGTGATAACAACATAGACAACAAACATAGAACAAGTGATAATTTTTTGGTTTTAAACTTATTGAGTACTTATAAACTTTAAACTTCTTTGCTATCTTAAAAAGTAAAAGCAGATTGAAGATTGGAAAGGTATTTGAGGATAATTTCTGTATAGTCATTTGAGTGAACTTTGTTTTGCCTGAAATTAATCTTTATTTTGTTATGCTTTCTTGGAAAAGATGCTTAGGTTTCTTTTAGTTTTGGAAGTATAAGCAGCTACAAGCTTTAAACTACTTTGATATCTTAAAAAGTAAAAGCAGATGGAAGATTGGAATTGTATTTCAGGATAATTTCTATATAGTCATTCGAGTTAACTTTGTTTTGCCTGAAATTAATCTTTATTTTGTTATGCTTTCTTGGAAAAGATGCTTAGGTTTCTTTTAGTTTTGGAAG